ACCTTACCCATTCGTTAGAGTCGAAGGAAACCTCGGGTCCATTCGGAATCAGCGGATCGAGATCATTAAAACGGACCCTCCAAGTGTCAGCCGTCGTCGTTTTCCCGCTCGACGGCGTGACATTAAATAATCCCGATGAAATTTCATATTTATACGAAGCCGCTAATTACGATTCGCGCCGCGTAAAAACGATCCCGCTCATTACACCCGAAACAATTAATCACTCGCTCGCGAGGGGGGTGGGGGCGGGATGGAAATTCGTACGTTCGGCCCAATACGTTCGGTTTTTCTCTCATCCCTCTCTCTCTCTCTCTCTCTCCGATTTTTCATATTTTTTTTTCTCTCTTTTTCCCCCCATTCAACCCCCCACCACGGCGTATTTGTCGGGCACCGAGCGCGGGTGGAAACGAACGCGGAACAATATTTCTCGGTGGCGGCGCGTCGGCTGCCGATAAATACGGACTTCGCGCGTACAGCGAGGAGCACCCTACCGGTTTTGCGGTATCTCGAACGGCTTAATGGCACTGTTAACTACCGTATTATTTAACGGGGATTTATGCATCGCAGTCGGCCGATTAAAACGGGCGGCAGGGCCGGCAGCGAGGGGCGGCGTGGCCGCAGCGATATAGGAAGATCGCGAACGCCACGGGGGATGGAGGGTATCCTTAATTCCTCGTGAAAGCCAGCGTTCGTTCGCAGCGGCTGCGGTTGCTCGTGTGGCTGATGGTAAAAGGTACCTACGCGGAAGTGGACGGAAGGCTTCGCCTCGATCGTCGCTGATAAGAAGAATCGAGGAATGTTATCTGCTGAGCGATGATAGAGAGCCCGGGGGGTCAACTGAGCATTGAATTTTTCAGTTATTGCGCGATAGTCAAGCAACCATAAACGCTCGACGTGAATGAATTTTGAATTTTTACCATAACGAATCTGAACATTCAAAAGATGATTCTCTTCCTATCAAAAGGTTTGTTTAAAAATATTTCTTTAACAGGTTCTATCCTCTACGAGATATTTCACTGTTCCTATATTGTATTCGGAGAAACACTCTGTATAAGGAAAAATGCAACAGGAATATTTAATCCTTTGCACTCGAGAGGTGATCGTCAGTCACGATTAGATAAAATTTCGAAGATCGATATTAATTAATATGTCAAATTTAAGATAATGTAACGGTGTGCGAGCTATCGAAATCAAATAATTCTACGTGTTAATTATTATACGATTTCTTATTTATTACTGAAAGAAATATCGCTAGCTTTATAGCAGAAAATCTTTGAACTCCTACTCATCTTTAGCCCAAAGATCGTCGAGTGCAAAGGGTTAATTAATATATCAAATTTAAAATTTCCCAACGATGCGTGGGATACCGAAGTAAAATAATTCTACGTCTTAATTTGTATACGTTTTATTGTTTATCGTTTTAAAATTATCTTATGGCAGAAAGTCTTCGAATTACTATTTTCCTGTAACGAAAAAATCGTCGAGTGCAAAGGGTTAACAAGGAGAGTACAAGTCCTTCGTGTCATAGATTTAGTTGAAACTTTACAGGATTATAGATTCAGTCATCCAGTTCAAGAAAATATATCATTAGAAGGGCAACTAGTCTGAGAGTCTTACATTGCCATAATTACAGATCCCACGCTGATGGCAATTTTCGAATGTTGCCATTAACAATGCCACTTGACAACTATCGATAACTATTCGGAAGAATTCTCTACTTAACCCATTCGAGACGGTGATTTTTGCAAACACGATCCCCAGGAACGACTACTCAGAATAACTCATAAATGCTCATTATTATTATTGCACACACGGTGTGCAACCGGTCTTGTAGCCTCGGAAATCAATTGCACACACGGTGTGTAATCGGTCTCGAATGGGTTAAGAATAATAAAGCTTTAATCATAAATATCTCAAAAACTATTAAGTAATTCCTCAACTGAATGACTAAATCTACAAACCTGCAAAGTTCCAACTGAATCAATTACTCGAAGGACTTGCACCCTCTTTATAAGTACAATTTTGATAAATTCAAACCTTTAGGAGGTACGAAGAAAACAGGAAACGAGAATCATAAGATGAAAAAGGTTGAGAAACCCTGGTTTATACGAAATCGAGGTAGATTAGAATAATAGGAAACTTACTCAATAATGTCTAATCAGAAGTCAGATAACACGCTAGCCACCTTCATCTTCATCTCGTAGATCTTTGTCTTCGTGTTCCGCGAATTATCGATAACGAGGTCGAGTGTTGGAAATGTTGATCGAAATGTCGATAGTTCCACGGTCGATTGGAATTGTCGGGACACGTGTAGTGGCAGGAGGCTGTCACTGGAACGAAGGCAAAGGTAAATTTTCAGGTGGAGCGTATGCAGGATGGAAGATGGGACGAACGGGCGCTCCGCGAGCGGAAACAATTCTGGGGTCGCGAGCTAGCACCTTGTCGGCTGCTAGGAGAGAGAGGTGTCCTGAGCAGAAGGAAGAGAGGCGCGACTCGGTGCGTCATCCACGTCACGATCGCTGCCAATGGGATCCAGCAGCGATGCTATTGAGGATTTGCATCTCTTGCCTTGCTCTCGCGGCGAATGCGAGAGGAAGCTCGCGTTCGTGAGCCGGTGCGACGAGAACGATGGGAAATCCGGTTGAGGGCATATAGGTATGCTCGCGGATGGCCGGGTGCGACGAGGAGCGTGACAGTATAGGTGGAACGATAGCGGTGACTAGAAAGAGACGCGGGATGCACGGAGAAAGAGGAAGAGAGAGTAAGAGCAACGAGAGAAACGGAGCATGGTCGATGTGTCTAGCCTAGCCCGGTTGGCTGGCTGGCTGGCTGGTTGGCTGGCTGGCTGGTTCGGGTGGCTGGATGAACCAGGGACCGTCTAGGTTGCGTCTGCCCCGCACAAACTCGGTATTATCTATACGTCTAGACACCCCTGCGCCACCGAGAGAAGACCATAGCGGTTTGGCGCTCCGCTTGTAATTTACAGCGCGCCCCGCCGTGTCTCTACATCTACGATCCCGCAAATTTCTCTCCCAGTCCGTGTGTCTCTTTCTCTCCGTCTTCTCACCCTCTCTTCCTCTCGCGTTATTTCTCCCTCTCTCCTTCTGCCTTTCCCTCTTTACCCTCTTCGTTCACCTGCGCCTTGCCTCTTCCTCCAACGCGTCGTCCCGCTTGACCTCTGCTCCCGGTCTCCCGCTATGAACCCAGATACACGCTGATCCGTGGCGAACGTTGCCCCATTGGATCGCGCCGATAATCGTTCTCCGCTCACTGGAACACCGGATCACGGGTATCCGTGGACACGAGTGACAGTTGGCTGGCCCCGTAGCGCGTTGAACCTAGAAGAAACGAGCGTTAGAACAGATCGATGGAGAAACGGAATGGAAGAACGGTAGAAGAGGCACGTGGACGTGTGTTGTGGTCGGGCAGGCGAATCACCGCGAGGGAATTCCCCGATGGAGCTCGCGTGCCGCGGCGCGGCCACTTCAGATATCACCGGCGTACGAGCGATCGAGGGGATCACGGCCACGTGAAAAGGGAAGCAGCCGTCAATTGGTATACACGGTGTACACACGGGCGGCGCGTGAAGAGAGTGCGAATATTGGTATCGCGATAACGAACGGGGAGCCCTCGCGTGTCCGAAAGTACGATCCACCCCAAGCGTGCATGCACGTTATCCCCGGACACGCGTGGGTTATATCGGCGATCTCTCGGTGATTAATGCCAGCTGTTAGTACCAGGAGGCTCCAGTCAATTGAATCTCATCGTTCGGCCGCGTAAGCCTCGCTCCACTCCCTTTATCCTCGTCCTCTCTGTACGCGGATCGCGTTCCAACCGCGTCCCCTGAAAGGCAAAGGAGAAGCTGAAGAAGGAGAAGGAACTCGCGTTCCATCGTCCACGCGTAAATAATAAATCCCGTGGAATCGCCTTACCGTGTCGGGAAGAAAAGCGGTGGATGTCCATTTTCCAGGCCCCGGCTACGGAAAGAATAAAGTTTCCCTGCTGGACCCAGGCACGGTGAAGACCTGGCAGGTGCGTGGCACGTTAAACTTTCCAGTTTCGAGAACGCAATTTTCCCAAGGGAATCAGTCCTCGCTAATGCAAGAGTGGTTATAGAAGGTGAAAGAGGAAGGAGCAGAGGAACGAAGAGAGAGAGAGGATGAGGGAGACAGGTATAAAGGGGCGATATAAAGGGACGGAGAGGGACAGAAGGAACTGCGCGACGGAGTTTGAGGGTTGAACGAGCTGACGCTTTAAGCGATGTAAGTTACAGAAACTACGCTTCCGACCAGTCTCGGGCGCAGATTAGTCGTAATCTCGGCGCATTGCACTTTGCAGCCGTTTCCATCCTCCTTCCTGCCGCCCGAGACCTCACAACTACAAAGCTTTCCGAACCGTTACCTTCTCGCCGAACCAAGACGAACGTGTTAGACGCACCTAAATTCACCTACACCACAGGGACTGCATCGTCGTGACACAGACTGTGTGTATTTGCCGCTGTATCGCCGCTTTGATTATTTCCTGCAGGCTTAAGCCGCTACGTCTACGCCTTCCTTCGTGGCTGCGGGTTACAACTCGCGGCGAAGATTAAACGCTTCTTGGTTTATGGCCTCGTAGCCGGTCCTTAGACTCGGTTTACCTTGGCTCAACGAGATTTTCCGCGCTCGCTCGCTTCCTACCTTTTATATGGCTCTTACTGAAAATCGATAGTCCGGTGATCGTGGCTTAATACTCGGAAATACTGTCTCGGTCGCTTCACCGTGTAGCGTCGTGGTAAATCGCCGATTGTTCTCCTTCCGAGACCACAAGTTTCCCCGTGAAATATGTGTGCAGTGTACGATATCTTCTCGAAGATGGGGCGGGATCAGGGACTATGGCAACGGTCGTGATATTGAACAAACTGCAAAGAGATTTCGAAGATTATAGCTTCCAGTGCTTTCGCTCCCTCGTTGGTTCGCGTGATATTAATTAGACGTTAAAGGAGTCTTTGCCTGGGAAAAATGACGGACGAGTTGCAATGTAAGACAGAGGATAGGAAGACTGGAAAGATGAACGCGAAGAATCCGGTGACTTCTGACAGTATTTGGTATTGGCTCGCGCAGAGAGCAAGTTTGATCGCTTTGTTCCGTTCGACCTGACACGAGCCAGCGTTTTCATATTCGACGATACGTGAATTTTAGCAAGGAAGTTATACTACGGGACAAGTTATTTCGCCGCAACTGGTCCAGAAAGTACGCACACCTGACGGGTGAATTTTTTAAAAAGGTATCACGAACCAGCCGGAGGGAAAGGCACAGTATCGACGATGTGCACCACACGAATTTTAATGTTTCCCGGTGTCACTGACCGTAGGTGCTGACCGAAGAATGCAGAAAGGAGGGATTTCCGGCGGACACTTTCGAACACAAACCGCCGGAAGATGCGATTAAGCGTTCACCGATTCTTCTGAAACCATCGCCGTCCATTCCCAGAACGACATCCGGCATGGTGGGTTTCCGATCATCTCGTCCAGAATACGATCTCGAGTTTACAGGTCGCTGGTATGTTTCGCCGAAACTCACCACCGAACCTCCTATGGGACCCGGGAAATTTCGCGTCGCACAGCAGAGGTTCATCTTCCTCGGTTAAGTAACATGGGATTCGAATAATCGATAAAGTGTATATTTTGTACACAAAACATTGTACACTATATAAGAAATGTATTGAAAAATAAATTGTCGCAGTTTTGTATAAATAGCGGAATAGCAGTTGGTATAATGTAGAAATACGTCATTCTTAGCTTCCAGGACAGAGTGTTCTTCTAGAAACAAGCTAACAGTTTTGTACACGTTTCATCCCATTATGAAAATGAGATTTGATTTATTTCGTTCTGGAAATTATTTACATTCCGAACCACTTCTGTTTAAGAGTCGGCGGTAACTTCTCCGTTAATGATATGGGATTCACTTCGACTGCCACTAATTCTTCGTCGTTCAACCAATCCAAGTACACCAGGTGCTGAAAATATCATGGGTGATAATTTGATTTTCGTATTCGAATTATACAATGTCACGACCGAAATTACCTTGTATTTTTTAAGAACTTGAAAAATCGGTTGAGAGTGCGAACTTAAGGAGAAATTATCTTCCGTGATGTCACCGTTCTCGCGTTTCGAAATTTTCGCATCTTTTTCCAGAAATTCGTTCAATTTATCGATAACGTAAACGGTAGAATCATCGTGCATTATTATGATATTTTCATTGCGAGAATCAAAGATTATATTCGTTATGGGAAAAGGCCGGGCCAACCATTGTTTCGGAAGTCGACTTTGCAAATTATTCGAAAACTTGGTGTATTGCCTTTGTAAAATATTATACTCGACAATCTGCAATTAAACGACCAATAATTAAGCATGAAAAATAATCATCGATAAAGTACAGCAACTTTATAACTTTCAATTTTACGTAAGATATTAGAAAAAGTTATAAGAATAATTAATTACAGGATTTATAGAAGGCAGGTCATAAAGAGATTATACGTTTTCTTATAGCCGACGTAGTAACTATAAACTCATCGTTTCGTGATTTAGATAAACGAGAATTTAATATCTCGGGAGTAAAGGAAATTCATATTACAATTGTGCGTAAAACGAATTTTTACCTTGTGATCGGAATACACGATAACTAAATTTAAAGTACTTTTCTGGACAGCCATAGCTGTCGGTGGACAACTGTACTTTGGTAATAACCATGCTGCAGATGCGTCGTTACTTGCAGTATTACTAATATTATACACAGCGATTCTACCATAACGATCGGCACAAATAAAATATTTATCGTCAGGAGAAAAACACACGAGTCCAAGATTTACAATGGATTCCTTGTCCGTGTGAAAAGAATCGAGATGCCTTAGATGCTTCTTCTCCACTTTATACAATGTTACGATGTTTTTCTTTCCATCGTTATTTATCGTTACAAATAATCTTCCATTTGGGCTAAATAACATTTTCTGTATTTTGATTGCAAAAATGTCAGTATCGTTCCTTGATAATTGTGCATCCCCTTCGACCACGTCAAAATTGAAGACTCTAGCATGACTGTCGGTTGAATAAACAATTGTTTTAGAGTCCTTATTGATAGCATAAGAAATAATATTTTCGTCTCTTTTTGTTTTTAATTGTAACAATTTTATAGGCTCCTCTTCTAATTGATGAAACATACCGGGACGTATTGATTCTGGAGAAACTTTAGTAGATGATCCAAGCCTCCACAACTCGAGAAAGTTTGTATACCGTAACAAAATGCACCTAGATTTTCTACAAACAGTAGCACATGGAAGTTGAAGTAATGGTGGATATTTAACTAAAACTTTTGGTGGATAACTAGACTGTGCTAGATATCCATCTACACCAGCTGAATATAATTTTCCGTTTGCTTCTACTAAAGCTCTTACATCGTGAGCATGTAACCTTCTTTCGATACCTTTTACCCATTGTGGTCTACCACTGGATTTCATGGTTATTTTACAAAAGCTTCGTACTACGGGATCAACCCCAGCACAATATACAGTATTCATGTCATGAGATAAAGTGACAGCTAATATATCAGCTGTATGACTTTCGTGGGATTCGATTAAAGTACCCATATGAGGATCCCAGAATGATAGACAGCCCCGTGAATCTCCAGAAATTATAACATTGTCATCTGTAACTTCTAAACACCAGATAATAGTTTCTTTCTTTGCTTCTTTTCTAGAAGTTGTCATCTTGTGAATTGCATGACCAGATATGGCATTCCAAACTCTAATTGTGTCAGCCGATCCTGTATAAATCATTTCTCCAGTGTTGTCCCATTTAATACAAAGAATTCTTCCTTTCTGTTTATCAAATATCCTTTCATATATCAATGTATCGCTAGTAACAGTAAATGTATTGATGTATCCATCTTCTGTACCAACAGCTAAACATGTTTTCTTATGATTTACATCCATACACCAAGCTGCACCCCCAGTTACTGCAACTTCATTTTTAATAGATAATGTTGTTAAATCGTATTCTGCTATCATGCCATGAAGACCAGTCGAAAACAACCTTGATCCTATCCAGAGAATGCTTTCTATCGAGTTTTCTGCAAGTGCTGGTATTGTACATTCTACAAAAGGTGCATTCCCAATATTCCAAACTTCAATGGAATTGTCATTTCTGTAAAAATGTTACTATAAAGATTTTTACAATCAACGTCTTTATAGTAAGTAAAAATGTACTGAAAAAACTAACCTTGCAAGTGTTAACTTTTTTGTCTTAGATTCATAAGATAAACAAGTAACAGATCGAGGTTCAAGATTATAAAACCTAATATTGTGTATTTTACAAGTTGACATGATTTATTTGATTTTCTAGAATCATTTATAATAATGTTATTAATCTAATTATATAAACTATACTACACACTAAGGAACGTAACCACAACTGTCATACACGTGGATACTGGAGGCAACTTTTTCCATATTTTTATGTTGGTACGACTTGCAAATAGTTTGTCTTAATTCGCTTTGAGAATCGAAGCAATTTTCAATAAAAAGGTAAATACTTATATATAATATGATGAAAACAAGTTTATTTCTTGAGTATGAAAAAACTAATTATAAAAATTATTTAGAATTTTGCTTTCCTTATTCACTATAAAAATTACTTTACACTTAACATAGCATGACGTATCACATTCTATGTAACAGTTAATATCAAAATTGTATTTCGCCTTTTATATAGAAAATAATATTGTTATGTAGATTCACAATGAACAATTAAATGATTTTAAAACGCGAGAATTATGTATATATATATTGTTTATTTAACACATTGTGAGAATCATGTTACGAAAAATTATGTTACATCCGTAACAATTAAGAAAAACGTTTACATAATATTTTTCTAGGAAATTCGACATATGCCTACGCAAAAAATATATATACATATATATCTAGTTCGATGGTAAACAGCATTCTGAACAACGTGTACGCAGGCGCAAAATGTGTTAAGCCGTCGCTTTCTAATATTCAACCTACTTCATATCAGTTACTCGTTACTCGTATGCGATTCAGTCAAAGATTAAGTGGGGCGTGTGTCATCTTTGTGATATATATACAACGTGCATATGAAATACACTGCATAAGTGAATTCCATTAATGACTCCATCTTGTCAATTTAATTTGCATTCTAAAGAGTTTTAATCGTTCCACTAAGGGTCTTAAACGTTTTCTAAAAGAGGTAAATAAATTCAACTCATATTCGGCGCACGAATGTGATTATCGATTGTTGCCATTTCCAGAAAATGCGCATGACGCATCAAATTGACGTATATAACTAGTTCTACGATTCTCAGATTAATATTGCATATAATTGTAGAAAGTTTTCGTAATATTATTGTTAAAGTATTTTCTGAAATGAACAGATTGTGATCGAGTTCAACATTTTGTTGCGCTAGCTATTGATACGGAAGAACGTTGAAGTATCGTTTCATTGCTCCAATATTTCATAATGTTACGATTTAAATTCACATGTAAAAACAATAATTATTAAGCAGGATATTTAAACAGGATGTGTAAAATTGCTTAATATGTTAATGTAGTGTTGTTAACAATTGCTTTTTTTTTTATTCATAGCGTTTGCTGTAAAGCATGACGTACGTGTATTTTTAATAAAACATCTTTTTCCGACAGCAGTATTGGATTATAACATCAATATAAAATTGTACGTAGATATAAATATAATGATAATTATTAACTGGTGTTTCTAATATTATTTTCAGCTAACCTTATAGCCTTGAAAAAATTAATCAAAATTAACTGTGCTCATATTTATTGCATTTAAATGTATGATATAAATCTGATTTTCTACATGTTAAAATGATTTTCATAGAATTGTTTTGTTAATAAAAATTAATAAAACCAAGCGGTATATTATTTAAATAATATTTATAAATATGAGCAATTATATTTCATAATGCTTGTATCTATTTCAGGTATATCCTGCATTGCTTTTTTATCTGTGGTGAATCAGTCTAAAAAATATCTTTACATTTGAAATCTAAAAATATTGATATTGTACAACTATTTTTATAAACTTTATCATTGATACTACTATGTTATATTATAATACATTAAATGTATAACTATATTATATCTAAATTATTTTTATTATTTACAAATATAAAAAAATTTTTTTTTTTATTAACATTTGTAATAATTTATAAGGTTTTTAAGAATGAGTACACTTATTTGAATATGCATTTTTATAATACATTGTAATTAATGTTTTATGTTTAGCAAAATAAATGATTTGTTCATTAATTTTGAATAGTAAACAATTTGACATTAATAAAATAACTTGAAATATGTTGAAAAATACATTTTTTTTAGTAATTTTATATGTCATTTCATTTTAAGGTTGTTGGTACATTTGTGCGCTGGTGTTCCATTGATGTTTTGATAATGCAACAGTATCTCGTTATAATAATAGATTCTTTTTCAGCTAAAAGAAAAACCAAAAGATGGCAACTTGGCAGAGTACACCTGGTGCTGGATTTTATCCAGGACAACAAGGTTCTGATCTTTTTCCTAAGTTATACATATTTCTCATTATGTTGAATATACGAACAGTATATTTAACAGACTGTTAACACCATGTTGCTTGTTTCAAGTGGCAATCATCATTTAAAGTTTTTTATAACAATCATTAATTATTATCTATGTTCGTTATCTATTATTGATAAAATAATAACACTTGCACATATATGAAAACATGTTCATTCAGTGTTAACATGATTTAAATATGTTATATGGTTTATTTAAAAGAAAAATCAGAAACTAAAGGGAAAATATTCCATTGAAAAGAAAAAATCATGCACTAACATTTAGTGGCTGTTTAATAGAGCACAAAATTTGATGAAGAGTAATGCTTAATTTAGAATACAAATTCCACTACATTATAATATTTTATTTGTTTAAAATTTGATTGTGCAGGTTATCCTCAACAAAATCCTGCATATCCAAGCCAAGGATATCCTGGATACCCACCTCCTTATGGAATGAATCCACCACCTGGTTCGTTTCATATTGTTTTGTTTTTTTTTTTCATTTCAATATTTTAATTTGTATATAATGCTTATATTTTCTTTATTTTTAGGCCCAGGCTTTATTCCTCCAGGTGTGCCTCCTGACGGTCAAGTTCCACATAGTGATCCAATATTTGGTGCAGGACCACAACCAGCCATGTATGGGTCAAATTATGCAGATGATCCTATGCAATCCAATGACATTAAGGCATTTGAATTCAATGAAAAATCTATTCGAAATGGCTTCATCAGGTATATATCATAATTAATAAAATTTTGTTACATTTGTTTAATTTTAACTTTTACCTATTTGCAGGAAAGTGTACAGTATATTGATGTGTCAGCTTCTGATCACACTCTCAATGATTGTATTATTTCTTTACCACCGTCCTACACATAATTTTGTGATGGCACATCCTGAGTTGTTTTGGATTTGTTTTGCAGCAACTATTGTTCTGATTATATGTATGGCTTGTTGTACCAGTGTAAGACGAAAAGCCCCTATGAATTTTATATTTTTGTTCATATTCACAATAGCAGAAGGTTTTCTATTGGCTACTGTTGCTTCTACATACAGTTCTGAAGAGGTAAGATTCTAGAAGTCAAATAATGATTTTTTAATTTATAATGCATTAATTATTAAGTAAGAAATAAAACACTTTTCTATTGAACACTTTTAGGTGTTATTGGCCGTTGGAATTACTGCAGTTATTTGTCTTGCGTTAACATTATTTGCATTCCAGACGAAATTCGATTTTACTGGTCTTAACAGCATTCTATTTGTTGCACTGATTGTTCTTGTACTTTTTGGAATAATTGCAGCATTATGGCCGGGGAAAATAATAACTGTAGTATATGCATCACTTGGAGCCTTGCTCTTCTCTATCTACTTGATCTATGATACACAAATGATGATGGGTGGTAGTCACAAATATGCCATTTCCCCGGAAGAATATATTTTTGCAGCACTGAACCTTTATATAGATATTGTCAATATTTTCCTTTACATTTTAACTATTCTCAACAACACAAAAAATTAAATATTGTAAAACACATTTTTATCGCTGGATTAATCTTCAATGCAAAATGCTTTTACTTATGATTCTGTTTTGACTCTTTTACTTTATATGTAGAGAGTACATTACAGAACAGCAATGAAAGGCATAAAACAAAAGCTATTGTCAAAGAAGCTTTAATTTCTATGAAATAATAGCTTTTACACAATTTTCAAAGCATAGCTAACACAGAGAGTACAGAGAAAGTATATTATTTTGATCTTTAATATTGTAAGTCAAATAATTCCTATACTTACGAAAAAAAGTAAGTTAATCATTACATAGTTAAAAGTATACAATAAGTAGAATTATAACAGATTCAAATGCATAACTTATATATGTATTTATAACTTTTATTTAATTTTTCCTATTAAAAAAAGGTATTCCTGTTTTAGATTGAATTCATATAATAAAACAGTTTATTTTGTAAGGTATCATTTTTCTATGTTCAAATATATATCACTACTAAGCAAATAATTGATTTAAGTGTTGTAACAAGTAAAATAAATACATTTTAAAAATATTAAAATCTGCGTGTTAGATGTAGTGTTATGACACTTATATATTATTGTAACATCATATTATTCCAATGATGTATATGTATATTTATTATATGTTAGAAAACAATTATTGAACACTGCGTGTTAGAATACTTACATATTATTATAATTCCATATTATCCTAACACTGTACAATGTATAATGTTCATTATCTGTTAAAAAACAAATGTTATATTATTTAAACAGATTTGCATAATAAAATAAAAATTCCAAAGTATTAAATAGTATTTTTATTTTTCGTCCATAGTTATGTATGTTATTTTTTACAATAATCATAGGATGTGAACCATTATGCAAATACATTGTTAAACCAAAGGTATATATATTATGATAATTAGTTTTGACATTATCATTGATTTATGTATTATATAGTGTTATTTTTAACAAATATCTAGTATATATTTATTGCAAAGGGGAATAAAAACAGTTATTTCGAAATCGTGAATATTTATATTTATAGTAAATTAGTCTTACACAAGTAGGATAAAAGCTCTTGGTCTTAAGCTTTCAGATTTGAACTTAAGATGTAAATAAGCATATGTAGTGCAATGTCCGTATGAAAAAGCATTCAATGTTCACATAGATTTTTTTTCAAGATCAAAAGCCCACATTCATTCTCACTCTTCTCATCATGGTAACAAATTGCAGCCTCATAACAAACAAATTGTTCCTAGTTGACTTTGTTCGTGCAACAATGCATAAAGTTTCACATGGAAAACAAAGCTCCATCAACAGTGTATTTCATTGATTTCTTTTGTTCATTATAAAAGCTGTGATGGAGCTTTAATGCTTGTATACATATAATAGACACATTTATAAGTACAGTCATATAAGTGACAAACAGCATTTATAACCCACCCTCTGAAATCCAGGTATAATTAAAAAACTTCACTTTCAAATTGGAGTTATTACTTTTACACTTCTAATTAAATTTAGATATCGTTTTTTAATCAGAAATTTTATCAAATAAGTTTAATCGAATTTGTTTAGGCAGTGTTGTGAAGAGTTTAATTATACTATTATGCTTTAAATTATGCTCTAAATCTATCCACAAATCTATTTCGAGTGGCACGAGCTGATATATAATATATTATGCGCCATTAAAATAAATAATGTAAGATTAGCAGCACCGATTAGAATTTCTTTCCACTTTTCGATCAACTGTTACTCTATCAGGAGCATCTTGTGGTTCTTTTCCATGAGTTTTTTCCAATATTGCTTCAGCTAATTCACTAAATGCACGATCAATATTAATGTTTGCTTTTGCAGATGTTTCCATAAATCTGATTCCATGCTCTCTTGCTATCTAAAGGAGCATATGAATTTATTAGTTTATGGTATTCTTAACTTACATACAAATTTTGTTATAATTATTTTACCGCTTCCCCTCTTTCTGTGCTAACAACACGTTTATCTTCCATATCACTTTTATTTCCTAATATCATCTTCTCCACATCCTCATTTGCATGCTAAAATTCATTAAAAGAAAAGTAAAATTATAAATTAAATGTATTGATATATGATACTAAGATTCATCATCTTACTTACTTCATCAATATTTCTCAACCATTTGACAATGTTTTCAAATGTCTTTTCATTAGTAATATCATAAACAAGCATAATACCCATTGCACCTCTATAGTAAGATGTGGTAATGGTATGAAATCTTTCTTGACCAGCTGTATCCCTATGAATATATAAATTAAAAGCTATTTAGAAACATTTATAGCTTCATAACTTACCATATCTGTAACTTGATTTTTTTTCCTCTTAATTCCACTGTCTTGATTTTAAAATCGATACCTAAGTGATAAAAACCATATTGTTTATTTACGTGACATACTTCTCAGTACATTAACATTTATTTACATAAAACATTCAATTTTAATAACAATGTCAAAATGTTGTTCATGAACACAATTTATCTATGTAATTAACATAACAAACGCAGCAATGATGCTTCAATAATCAACTGTCTATTGTTCATCAACCTGAAATTTGCATATTTCCAATTTACAATATTATAATTTTCCTAGTAGCATAACCTACTATACCAAAAAAGAATTTCAACAACGCACAATCTGATTTAACAAATATACGAATGATTATTTGTAATATTTTTCTTACCTATGGTAGAAATAAACGTCGTTGAGAAAGCATCGTCTGAAAATCTAAACAGTATACAAGTTTTACCAACTCCGGAATCACCGATTAACAGTAACTTGAACAACAGATCGTATGTCTTTTTCGCCATTTCACTGTTGTTCTGCGTTAACGAGGCGCCGAAGAAAACAAAAAGGATTCGAACCTGTAGAGCACAATTAATAGTTTTCCAGACGATGTTTGGAACATCGAACGCTATGAACGATTATAGGTTTCAAGGTCGGACGAGGGCGCGTCTCGACGTACAACGGTGCCTTGTTAACGACGGAAAAACCGGTCACAGGGGCTGACTATTAAAAGACAATGCGACGTCACACAACAGAGTAGCACGCAGAAGCATCGGGGTAACTTTGTACTTTAAGTTCGACCATAAGACTGAACGAGTCCTAACATCAACCAAGCAACAAATACTATTACAACCGTTTCTTCATTGTAATTAGTGGTAATAGCAAAACTCTGCCGGGTTCAATTGCGAATATTGCATCTACCACGGGAGGTCACCACCACTGCAAGAATAATTTTAAATTACTCGGATACTAACGGGACATGCATAAAGTTATTGCTTATTTTATCGATTTTTTTCTAATGATTTTTCTATACAATTGTATTCCAATGATTCTATTTTGATGCTTGTTAAAATATACAAGTGATACTTTGCCACGTAATATGTATTTTTCCAGTTAAATTAATTATTACGTCAATAATAAAACGAGTTATTCACTAAAGAAATGTGTTTTATAATTACTTTTATATCGTTAAACATTGCAAATTTATGAGCAATGATCATGAACATTAATCACTAAAATGTTTTATATAGTTTTAGTTGTTGGCAATATTTAGATATGGCGCTAACCAAGATACGTTGATAATACTAAGTGGCATGGTGTGTATTCGATGCATCTGTGAGTGCAATTATGAAGGGTAGTAATGGGTTCAACACGCTACAAGAGTCTCGGATTGTTTTGAACGTTGTTTAAAATTTACCTAAAATTTCAGAGATCTCGACTAACTTGACTGTATAATATTCTTAAAGCTTCTGAAACGTTATAGATTTTAAGGTAACCATAAAAGTTATCGATTAAAATTATTTAGCAAACAGTATATTATAATTTATTATATAACATTGGATAATTGGATAATCAGCTTAGGATGGTTACTTCATAATATAAACGGTAGGTGGCGACTAAAAATCTCGTTGTTATACATACATTCTCGTTATACGTCAGTATAGCTAAACGTTGTCGGCTAAACGTAAGTTCGTAAGCGTGTAGTTTGATGAAATACGTCATAGTACAAAGCACACGTGTGTGATTACATTTTAATTTCTTTGATACGCTATTAGGAATATGGCAGCTAAGGTGCAACATTTCGATCCACCTAGCTCGGCGAGTTCAGAAGGGTAAGTAATAATGTTTTCTCGTTCTTTCATTTATCGTATGGAATATCATTAACATCCGTGTAACTTAGTGATGACGGTGATGTTCGTTTGGATGAAAAGGAAGTTTTCCTATTCGATGAACCATGCGAAGACGGTGATATTGGGTCACCTATATCGCAATCTCCTAGATCACCTTCTACTGGTAAGTTAATTAACGAATACCTTCACCGGCATTTCTGCGATATTTGATATTATTTTCTATTTATTTTGGTACTTAAATAGACAATATGCCAATTGTTTACAGAGTCAGTGATTTGGAATACCTGTATTTGGCAAACAGGATGTACTTGGTATACCGAAGTAGACTTCTTTTGCAATTTCAAAAAGACAATTAAAACTAACAAAAGTACCTTTATCCTTTATCCCTTTATCCTACATAAAAATTAAATTATTCAAACATTTCATCCAAGACACTTTTCATTTATTTATTTTTCAACGTAATTAGTTCCTACATATTACATTTTTGGATAATTTCTGAAATAAATGAAAAGAAATTATTTCTGTTTTTAATTGATAGGACCTCAGAGATCACCAAGATCAAGAAGACAACGTTCTACTAGTTTATCTCAGTCTAGTAAACAGACTTCTGCAGAATCTATTATTAGAAGTAAAACAGGAACAATATATACAGCTGGTAGACCACCATGGTATAATTCAGCTGGACAACAAGTAGAACCTTTTGTAATTGGTTGGTAATAAAAATATAAAATATATTTATTACTTTGAAGGAAAAAGATACAATGTAATTATAGCTTTGTGTTAGGTATTTGTGGAGGTAGCGCATCTGGGAAAACTACAGTTGCAACAAAGATTATAGAATCTCTAAACGTACCTTGGGTGACACTTCTTAGCATGGATTCATTCTACAAAGTATGAGAAACTTATTATACAAATGCTTTTGTTTTAGAAAACAGAAACAAGAATTAGTGATATATGCAGTTTTTGTTGTAGGTATTAAATGAAAAGCAACACGAGATGGCTGAGTGTAACGAGTACAATTTTGATCACCCTGATGCATTTGATTTTGAGTTATTAATAACGACATTACAGCGTTTAAAGGAAGGTAGAATGGTGGAGGTTCCCATCTATAATTTTGTAACGCATAGTAGAGAAAGTAGAACTGTATGTTGATATTGACAGAAGTACTATATAGATCTAAAATTTATTTTGCGCATATTATATATCTTTTTTGTTTTAAAGAAAACAATGTATGGTGCCAATGTGATTATATTTGAGGGAATATTGACGTTTTACAACGTTGAAGTAATGAAGGTAAGTGAATGTACTGTGAAAAAAGCAGGATAAGTGAGTTAGTACAATGCAATTAGGTAAGAAGTTAAGGACAGAATTATCATTAATCCGCACCTTTTGGTTGGTTAAGATGTGTGATATGAAAGTGTTTGTTGATACTGACGCGGATGTAAGGCTTGCTCGGAGATTACGTAGGGATATATCGAATAGAGGAAGAGATTTAGAGGGTGTGTTAAAGCAATACATTACTATGGTGCAACCAGCTTTCAAATATTATATAGCACCATTTATGGTTCATGCAGATATTATTGTACCTCGTGGAGGAGAAAATGAAATCGCGATACAACTTATAGTACAGCATGTACATACTCAGCTTCAACTGGTAAAATCAATAGCTTTCTAAATGTTGCTTTATTTTATTATATTTATTATATTTTGATAATTTCCTACTCTAGAGGGGTTTCAAACTTAGAGAAAAATTAGCTCATTCTTATATCGGTCAACCAATGCCATCGTCTCTCTACCTGCTTCCAGATACGCCACAAAGTAAGGGTCTGCACACATTTATAAGAAATAAGGAAACATCTAGAGACGAGTTTATATTTTATTCCAAACGATTAATCCGTTTGGTTATCGAGTACGCATTATCTCTTTTACCTTTCGAGGTAAATGTTGACATACCGTATTACCAAGTCACGATCAACATGTCATTACGTGTACGTTTCCGTGTTGCCATAGGACGTAAGGGTAGAAACCCCGCAAGGAGTATTATATCATGGAAAGCGTGCTGCTACGGATAAAGTATGCGGTGTGTCTATTTTGCGTGCCGGTGAAACCATGGAACAAGCTATTAGGGATGTATGCAAAGATATAAGGATAGGAAAAATACTCATACAAACGAATCAACAAACTGGAGAACCAGAGGTAAGAGAATTTTTCTGATTTTATATTTTCTTCAGATTTTAATGCAAAAATTATTGACATATTTTTCAGCTTTACTACCTTCGACTGCCAAAAGATATTAAAGACTATAAAGTGATATTAATGGATGCAACTGTGGCAACTGGTGCTGCTGCCATTATGGCTATTAGAGTTTTATTAGATCACGACGTTGCCGAGGAAAATGTGCTACTTGTATCTCTACTTATGGCAGAATCAGGTGTCCATTCAATTGCTTACGCATTTCCACGTGTAAAAATCGTCACGTCTGCCTTAGATCCTGTGATAAATGAGAAATTCTATGTACTACCCGGTATGGGTAACTTCGGTGACCGATACTTTGGAACCGAGCCATCTTCAATTGAAGATTAATACAGTTCAACAGCTCTGTCTTAGATTTCAGTTTTGAATTGTCAAAATTATTTAATCTCTTATATTTTAAACATTGTATCTTTAACAATGTAATGTGGTGTATCTTTAATAAAAGGTTTTAGTCGAATAAGCATAGTAAATCTGTCCCTGAACCGAATTCAATCGAGATATGAACTAATTACTCCATTGACATTATTTAATTGCCAAACTTTAGAGAATTATCATCACGCGTGCAAATAAATTTAACGATTAAATTTTAATTTACAGTTCGCTTAATTATCCAATTAAAGTGCCGTTGTATCAATGTTAGAGCCAACCATGCCTCGTTCCGCAGTGGTGTCCATACTATGTAATTGTCTATAACCTCGAGTGCTAGCTCGATGGGAACGGTGCCAAGAATCCAAATGACCAGCGTTAGCATTAGTCGATTGTCCTAAAAGACACGTAATCAATCGATCGAGAGCGGCCAAGTCTTCGCTCGTGCTGCCAGAAATGTCTAACCCTTCTGGTAAGTTGAAACCATTGGATGTGGTCTCTTTCTCTTCAGTGTTTGTAACGTTGCTTGTTCCGTCGCTAGTATGAAATCCAAGCTTCGATGTAAACTGTATAAATGAAAATTTTTGCCTCGTGTAAATAGAAAATAAACGATAGTTATAAATTACGAGATTTATAAAGAAAATATTCACTTCGTCTACTTCCTCTGGACCATGTTGACCATAACTTGATCTTTGTACTTTGCGGAATGTTTCGTCATTTACGGCTTCACGTACTGCTTCGTTTAATGTTTTTTCCAGAACACGTTGCTTCGTTTTACTCAGTCCATCGTAAAAACTGACAATGATTTTCTATTTTTAATTTCGCATTAAATATTACAAAACATCGATGTAAATATTATACTCTTGCAAAATAAAAGAAGACTTTTGAAAATTTCCAATTTATGTTCTTTTGAAGATATTTTGATCTTCCTTTATGCTCACTTAGTAGTATAAAAATTGACAATGATTTTCCATTTTTAATTCTGCATTAAATATTACAAAGCATCGATGTAAATATTATACTCTTGCAAAATAAAAGATTTTTGGAAATTTCCAATTTATATTTTTTTGAAGATATTTTGATCTTCCTTTATGCTCACTTAGTAGCGAGGAAATAATTTTCTATTATAACACGAGATATCTCAGTTACCTTGAATCCAGCGAGCTGTTATCTCGTGAAATATTCTTATCACGGACCACGCGAATATCATGCTCCCAAAACCGACGTAATTCCGGTGTCGAGGTATACGGGGCGGCAACTTCCTTAACCTAAACGAAAACCACAGTCCTGATGTCACAGGAGATAAATATACTATTACATCTTTTCCCGAAGAAAAGTCAAAGTCAAGGAAAGAAGAAGAAAGAAAGAAAACCGAAAAATGAAAAGAAAAATGCTCGTTCTGTTAAAGAACACCTGTTTTCAACGTTAGCCGGCCTTAACGTAGCGTCATAGTTCGGTTACATAATCACGTGACAATAGTATCGCGACATCAGGAATTATCGTGAAAATTACATCACGTGCGGCAGACGATTTACTCATTGTTATCCTTGAAAAGTTTGCTGGTTTGCGACCTTGCTTACCTTCAGCACGATGATAGCCGTGATAAAGATACACATTACGTTAACAAAGGTCAGGCACGCGCTGATTATGCCATTGCAGAAAAATTCCACCGGTAGATAATCGGTGTACACGTAAGCGTACGAGGTGTTGTAGTCGGTGTAGGACTCTCCTTTCATGTGCGGCATTTTAATCGGTCGATAAATTAGCCATATACATCCGAGCGCCCAGAATAAACCCTATGGGAATAAATTTCATCGATTGCCACGGCCAGATTAACTGCCATTCATTAATCAACTCCGATAGAACGAGAACGCTGCTCAACTGCCGATAGGCTCCCTCGTATCTATCTTCTCTCGCGAATTATTCTCTCTGTCCGTGTCGATAACTGGCCAATTTCAATGTCTCGCGGATGTTGTATATTTCGATTTACGATCATGGATAAACCAGAATCCAGGAAGCTCGTAAATTTTCAACACGATTGTTAGCAAAACTTACACAATTTACCACTGGTGGCAGCAGAGAAGCCGATATGGCGACTCCGATTAGGGGCCCACTGCTACCTTGCAACAAAGCCACAGCTACGCCCGTGCCCGATGGTAAAGCCCATAACACACCCATCCAGAGTGACCTGTAATTTCCTCTGTAAGAAGATGACAATTTAAGCGAATTTCTTTATTATTTTTTCCACGGTTTGTATTTTTATTTAAAAAATAAAAAATATTAAAGAACATACCTGCCCTTCATTTCGTCCGTTGGCCAGTCGTTGTAGCCCCAAGGCATCTCAGTGGTACCCAGAATGAGACCGAAGATGAAGCCGAAGAGTATCGAGACAAATATGCCGACCAACAAACTCTTGAGACCGATAAGTTGAAGATTCCTGTCGGCTATGATCGTCCCAAATGTTAATGACATTACAGGGCCCTTGATTTTATTAAAAAAAAAAAAAAAAAAAGAAAAGAGGGAAAATAAAATAATAATAGTAGCAGGGAAATGTAACTGATAATTGGAATTATAGATATTCTTACCATCAAGGGAGACACCAACATGGCGGCTACGACATTGGTGGCACTGTTCTCAATGAGTCCCAGTGCTGCTAAACAACTGTGTGTAATTATAAAATTAATGAACAAAACGAATCAAAGTAATTTTTAATTTCATCAACTTTATATTCAAAAGTATTTTCCTTTAGGATTTATTATAACGAAGAGGATATGGAACATTGCGTTAATTTCTATATATATAAAAATTTAAAGATTCTAACATATTATTAACATTAGAAGTACCTAATGTCTCGGGATTTTTGTTTCTGCATATACTGGAAACAAACAGCTCCTCTTAGCAAAATTAATATTAAATTTGACCAAGGTAAACATATCGCTATTATTTATTCCTTTTTATTATATTAATTTTATTATTATCATTTACGTATACTATATTTAGGTACACGTTATATATCGGTAATTTTATTATTGAATAATAAATATGTTTAACATACGAATCCTCAAGAAATACGATTTAAAGAAAATTTATTGCTTCCTTAACCGTTTAAGTGCCAAGCGGCGCGATCGCGCTTCTTCTATTTTGTGTCCAAAAGTGCCAGCGCTCTGAGCTGCGAAGCTGACAATCAGCGCGCTCGGTTGGTGAACGCGGAATATGAGAAGCGCTATCGCGCCGCTCGGCACATATCGATTGGGAAACAATAATGACCCGTGGCACTCAAACGGTTAAAGCGATTAATATTTTTCTCTGACTCGTTTCGTTCATTAAAAATTTCAATTAATCGGAATACGTAAGAAGAATTGCATAACAAGATAATTCTTACTCTGCCGTCAGTACTAGCAAGACGTAATCGAAGGTAAGATCACCCCCGCTGCGGACCCCATCGACGACCTGCTTCACTGTCAGTTTCGATCGTATGGATTCGATGAACGCCTTCCAAGCGTCCTTCCTCTCCTTCGATTCCTTCCGTCTACGAAGAAAAGGAGAAAAGAAATTAGAAAATATACACAGTCATACGTAAATGGTATATATTAGAGGTAATTGCATCGCAACCTTCGTGCTAGATCATCCTTGACTGCAGTGGCGCCACCATTGCCCATGCCACTATACGTGCACTGGGTTGGAATCACGCTGGAAATTTGTTCGAAGGGTAAACGAAGACGTTTGGAAAAGCTCGCCGCGGAGAAAATACCAGGACATTAATTCACCTTACTATGGAGTTCATTTTCACGCCGATTCCCATTTCCGTGAGGCAGTGCAGGCAATTTTCGCATGGTTCTCCAGCCGGTACAGGAAATATCACCTTTCCAGGGAGGATAAAGTGGACTCTAATAAGAAATGGGAATAATTAGCGTAAGCGTCTCTTACCTCGTAATACATGTTCTCCTTGTCCCTGCACCAGACAACGTGTTCCACTTTCAGCTTCCTCAGCAACTCCTCTAAGACCTTGGAGAATAATAGCGGCGGATAAAATGATGGCAGCCTGTATCGAGCTTTTTTCTTCGTCGCGAAACATTATAATATTACGTTATAACAATACTTCTTTCCCTTTTTATCTGATATGGAGTAACATCGATTATACACAATTTCCTTCCCAAAATTGAAATTACCTTATCTCTCGTAGATCGCGATGTAACATTTGATTAGTACTGTATTGAAACTACAATTAGATTAATACTTTGACTGCCACGTTGGTCATATATGACCGGAGCACTTGGGCTACTCGTATACTACAATTGTAAAAATTCAAAGAAAATTGACAGTTGGTGCATTGTGAATATAAGCGCTAATTAGAAGAAAGTGCCTCATTGAACAATTAAAAATATTTATTAGAACATCGATCAAAAGATATTAGAACAAATCTTGCATCAAGTGGTGCACTCCCGTGGCGTCCTCAGCGAAACAATTAAATAATTTCGGCGTGGCAGTCAAAGGATTAACCACTTGCGCTGGAAAGACGTGTCACGCACGTCGTAATAAGTACTTTTGTCGCAGAATCGCCAACAACGTGGTATACACGTCGTGACGCCTCTCAGCGAGCGTCTCTGGACTGTTCTTTCACATACGTCTGTGAATTTCTTGCCAGTGCAAGTGGTTAATTATTTATATTTTTGTCTACCTCAGTAAATTGGATATAATTCAGGTATTGACATTTTAACAAATTGAAAATGGTCGTCACTGGTACCTATCACACAAAAATCATAATTTTGGTTATATCAGTGTATCAAAAAATCACGGTACCGTTTCCATGGATACGAAAACCGGATCCCTGTCTCGTTGACCGGAAGTGCCACGTCCTCGACCTCGCAGGTGTCGTCTGTTGGCCAAGTCGTCCTCGATATCGATGTCGTCCACTTCGTCCTCGCTGTTCAACCTCAACAAGTGAGTCCTCATCTTCGTCTCCCTAAGTCTTAAATCGACTTTTGGTCCAATCACCGGTTTCCCGGATTTTTCATTTTTCTTCGCCCGTTTCAAGGGCAGACCGAAGATCAATTCATGCTCGTAGCTGTATGTGGGTATGCAGACCAAAAATACGACACCACCAGACATGGTAATTCACGAGGCAGTAGACGACTGTTCAGTGGAGATGTTTAGGGAAGTTTTGTTCTCTCTGCTTCATTAGAGGTATCAGTTTTATCAACGAATCGCTAATTGTTTTATTATCTGTCTCTTAATTGGCGCGAAAGTGGTGTCAAGGCTTAATTGCTTGTCCTCGATCTATCTCCCACACGCGATAGCTTTTAATTTTCGCTTGTTCTTATTTGGAATTGGGATCTTGACAGATCGACATCGATCACCTGTAGTGTTTATGGCTGTGAATTTATCGTGTAACATGTTTCGTTAACAAAGAATAGGTATTTATTTTAATTAGGAAAATTAACAAGTATTAACAAGAAAATTTAAGAAAGACTTTGAAGATGATATTAATTGTGAAATGAGCTTAATATTTTTCTTTTTGTCAAGAAGTTGATAAATTTGTGACGAGTGATAGGGATGAGAACAATTTACGAAGGAAAGAGGAAATTTCGACAGCTGAGAGAAGGTATTCGCAGAATAAGCAAATTGTTTCTTTTTTTTTTTTTTTTACGAAATAAACATTTATTTTAACAAATCAACAGCGTAAAGACTAGCGTCTAGAGACTAGTCCGACGTTTTGTCTGATCTAGGTAACTAGAGGCCGCCAGGAATATATCGTGCGAAGGGAAATTTCGAACTCGTTTGCGATTTTTACGAAAATTGAATCGCATTTTTGCATCCCCCTCGTCTTCAAGCAAGTATTACCCAAGCGAGATGTGCGTGAAAAAATATCCCCACCCTAAAACGACGCTGAAGAAAACCCTAACGAACGAACTGTCTTAATTGACAAGAGCTCTGCGGCATCGCGTTGATCCTAGTTTTTGGTCGAAAATATATTTGTCGTTCACATTCATCTCGAAAAAGAAAATTTCTCCTAAGACCTTCCAAAAATGATTAATTTTTGAAACGTAAAATTAGTTGATTTTGTATCGTGCAAAGCATTTTCTGTGAAATTAATTATAATTATTAATCGATTAAAAATAAATTATTTTAATTAATACAATTATTTATAAACTCTATGTACTCTATTTCAACGAATATAACAAATTTTGTCCATAGTTGATAAAATTATTAACCCGTTGACTGTCGGGACCAATTCTACGTAATTTGCCTGTGGCGCCATAGCGAGTGCTTTGTTTCATCACAACACGTTATAATTTTACTCGTTAGTTTCTAATTTAACTTCATTATTTACGATGACACTTTATAACGTTATAACAGTAACTATATTGAAAATTGTACAAATATTACTATTTATTTGAATTAAACGCTTTTATTAATCTCGGCATCGCCTGTTGCCGGTAACGGCCACAGCGTGGCGCCACTGATAAAGCGAGTACCGGTCACGGGTGATTCCCCCGGACAGTCACGCGTTAACGTTTCATTTCCTACCAATTCGTACTCCTCTCTCTGATCCCTTAAATTTTCCACGACAATCGTATTTTCGACCAATTCAACGGGACGTCGACGGCTCTAAACGATTGAAGGCTAACAAAGTTTCGTTCAATTCCGCAAGCAACTAATCAACCGCGAGTGCCAGTAGAATTACACGATTTCTTCAATTCTCATAAAAACCGGAATTCTAGATTTTCCCTTGGCAGCTCCCCGCTATAGTTTCACACACGTCACAACGTTCTCTCGCGTATTCCGATAAATGATTGGAATTAATAGTCATCGCGATTAACCTGCTACGTTATCTCGCTAATAAAACTGTTTCCTCCTTTCTTTTCTCATTCGTCTTTTGTCTTCTTCTTCCCCCCTCGTTTCTTTTTCATTGTTCCGTTTATGCCTCTTTATTTCGTTTACTCTTGCCCCTTTATGTACATACGGTGTTTATTCAACGCAATTTAGGTACTGACCTACGACACTTCCGCGGCTGCGTTTCTACATGAGACTCTTATTTAGTTATTTTTACTTTAGTTAGTTACTTTTATTTCTTCTGTTTCTTTTAAGGCCATACTTAAGGAGAGGAGCGTTTCGTTTAAACAACATCCGTGTGTGTCTATCACCACGAAGATGATTTCCACGACTAGCTGACAGACACGCTGTCGTTGCTAATTGTTCTTCCATTTTACAGAGATCATCTTCTTCAGTGATTCGAGGGATCACGCGACGTTGGTCGTCGACAACGTGACCGTGTTTGAACTCGTTTGTCGCAGAGATTCTCGTGGACTTCCTTCAAATGGACAGAAAATTGGTGGCTAGAAAATTTTCTCTGACTATATCTACACGTAGATTCTGCGTCTATCTATCGAAACGTTGATCTCTCCCGTTTCGAGCACGACGATTATCGTATTTTCCTTTTCTAGCGGAAAATTCGCGAGAATCTCTGCGAAAAGCCAGTGTGAGAGCAAGATAAGTAACCTAAAGGGGCATCGCATTGTCTTCGAGGATACGCAAGTCTCGTTGAAGGAAGACCGAGGAATTCAGAGGAATACACAGTGGACAACGCTTATTCTATTTCGTTTACGCAAGAAGAAAAGTTGAAACAAACGCTGCTGAAGATAATGACGAACAGGTATCTCTCGAACGAGGTATGGTTGGTCTGAATGATATAGCGCGCTCGGAAAAGCCATTGCTGAATATTATTGACAATCGTTTAAGTACGAAATGCTTTTCCAAGAGTTACCAGTGGTCTATTACTACAAGATCCAATAACGAGAAGAAGAGCAGGTGGATCCAAAATATGAAATTTTAATTCTGGACATTTATTAGTTACCAAAATGTTAATAAAAAACTTTCGTTACTATACATACACGCATCTGTGTGATTTCGGAATGATTTAAGCTCTTGTCTACCCTAAATCAATATTGTCATCATTGCGTTATTAGTTACATGACAGTCGACGATGGTGACTATTATAGCGAAAACAGTTGTATTATTATACTAACGTACAGATAGAATTTAATATAGCACTTGGTTCTTACTAATATCTGGGATATTAATAAATATTCTAAGTTAAAATTTTATATTTTGGATTCACCTATACTCCCCACCGTTCTACGAATTTCGTACCAATCAGCCATTGATGACTCTCGAAAGTATAGCTGTTGTTTAAACATTCTCTGAGATCTTACATAGAATTTATCGGTAGTAAATTGACAGTAAGTAGCGGTTTACGAACTAAGTTAAAATTTTTAATTAATTAACAATTCTTCCCTGTTATTGGTTGACGTCAAGTACTCACACGAACTACAGATAATCCCGAGTGTTGGCTATACGAATAGTGTCACTTCGACATTGGTTAGGAATGTTTCTTAACACGATAATTTACAAGCGCATTATATTCTCCGAACCAACGGTAACTTGGAATTCGCCAACTCGCGATTAACGCGGTATTAATCATATTACATGCTACGTTTAACGCAACGAGGAAAATTCCTCGAGAAATGATTCTTAGAAGAAACAACACGGAACTATTTTGTTTTTCTTCTCCAAAAGACTTGAAGTGTCCTCGAAAGGCAACAGGTATAGTCTTCCCCGATTCATCTTGCGCACGTGTAGTTGCACGCCACGCCACGTGGCGCGTCTAAATCTAGACTCGCGTCTATAAACTTGAAAGCGAATCGCGCGATGATCTCAGCGTTGCGCGTCGAGTACCGAACAGATTTACATATATATTTATTTTTCATCTCCTCGAAAGACTATTTCTCACGCCGTGTCACCGAAGAAACCCAAACAAAAGAACGAGGATCACCGTGTCTGCACGCGACCCCCTTCAATCCCCTGCCGCCAAATGCAAACACGGATCACTCGAGTATATCTCTCGTGTCTCTTAAAAGTCACCCCCTGCTTTAGCCTCTATATCCGCAACCTCGTGTCCACTTTTGCATTTACTCTCGTCTCTTTATAATATACCGGAAGGTTCAGAGTTGCTGCTAGGATACTTCTAGGAATCTTAAGGCCACGATACCAAGTTAATGAGCGATCGTAAAACGAGTCGTCGCTAAGGGAAAAACACGCTATGGCGTCTAGGAGAAAATATCGCGCGCTCCCTGTCCTCGATCTTTCTCAGCACGCAGAAAGCAACGCAGCGACGAAGATCGACGAAAAGCCGTTGCTCGTCTCTCTCCTCCCTCTACAAACCCTGCGATCGATAACGTCAACCCCCAACCCCCCACCCAACCCCCTAAGGACGAACCGCGGTTTCTTCAGGAAGCATTTGAAAAATCAACTACCAAAAATTGTTCCTCCAGTCTATCGGTAATATTTCACCATCAGTCGTGCTACGGAGGAAACGAGGTGTATCGGTTTAAAAAAATAGCTTTCTCTCTTTCTCTCTCGTTCGCTCTTACTCTCATTCTCTCTCATTGTTTTTTATTCTCTCTCTCTCTCTCTCTATCACGTCATCATTCTGGTCGAATATTCAAAAAGGATATCACGCGATCACCGAGTATCAAAAGACAACGCAACCTCGACTGATACCTCTCTCTGTCAATGGCTACGTTGTTATCAAAATCACGCTTCTACGAGTCGATTGTGATCAACGTGTTCACGGATCGAATTCAAGCGAGAAAATATTTTCTCCCCCTCTTTTCTCATCCTCTGAGACCGGAGCTACCTACAACAACCCCGAGGCACTCGTTTCTGCGTGCGAATGAAAGCATCGGTGGTTCAAGAACGAGGTTTACTTTCCGTCATCGTGGTCCTGTGGAAGAGAAGAAGAGTCTCGTGGTTGAGCGGCTCGTTCTTCTCAGTGTTCGTTAGAGTGTCCGTCTTCGAAGGGAGCACCGGGGCGAGATCGACGATCGTTCAGGGGAACGAATTTACCCTCGAGAAACAACTCGCGTCACCCTGCAGGGAGAGAGATACGGGACTCTCCCTGTTCAGACGGGAGCGCTGGGTCGTCGTAGAAGCGACGAAAGCAACGAGCGTCGGGGTGGCCGTCGCCATGGTCGACGCAGACGACGCTCGTCGACTGCGTAGGATGACGACTGCTCCTCGACGATCCCCAAAGGTCAAGCCTTCTCCTCCTCCTCGTCTATCTCCTCCGACGATTCCGAGGAAGAGTTGATGAGGGCGGTCGAGAGGCTTGGAACCTGGGCCGAGTAAGGGAACGAGCTCATGCGAAGACGTTGAGGATTCCAACACTCCGGCAGCGAATGAGAACCGTCTTCTGTCACCTTGTCCGAGTGAGTCTTCTCCATGGATCCTAGTTCCATCATCGACACCCGTCTGGCGGGTCCCTTTTTGTCGCCTGAGGTACAGAAATTATTTCATAATGAATATATGCAGTTTGTCGAAGTGTTTGGATTGATTTAGATTTCGTTCAGTGTTTCTGTTTTACTTTTCACTTGTCATTAACAAGATATTGCACGTATTTTGAGATACGTAGCTGCTTCTTTACTTTAGTAGATTTCGAGTATAACTGGCGGAAGGATCGTAAATTCTACGAGACGTTTATGCTCCGTAATAAAGTTGCATATTTAGTGGCAATGAAATCACCACTGATAATGTAATACTTCCAACGTTCCATAACGAAATGTGACTGTTTTACCCGTAATATTCTTTTTAATATTTCCATTCCCCTTAATGCCAGGATAGGAGTACATTTAATACTACACTGAATTTACGACTTCATTTTACGTCCTTTCGTCGTTTATGCTTTATTATATCTCGTTTTCATCAGTCTCTTTATCATTAAAAAATCCTACGAACCAAGATTTTAGATTTTATAAGCTTTGTAATATTATATATCCGCCATATCGTTTAATTTCTTTTTGGGGTTGAAACGATTCCGGAAAAAGAAAACTGTTTTAAATTATTATATATCAGTTCTGATGTATATCATGGTCGATGTTATGGCGATTTACATGTATTCGTTGAGTTACAAAATCGTGAACTACACCCTACGAAGTTAATGCGAGTATTCCGTTTAAAGGAGTTTCGGAACTAATATAAAACCGGAAAATAAAAATCGTATGACTGACATAGAATCGATGTAACATCAGTGCTCGAAGATCGAAATCGAAACCGATACAATCCCATAAATCGCTATGGTTCGTAACTTCGTTTCTTACTTATAAAAATCTTAAGGATCGAGACCAATACTATTACTGTTTTCAAAGTCTGAATTTCTTGCCTGTACCTTTCTCGTATTCACTGAAGGACTTGGTGGGCGAATCCTCCGTGTGTTCAGTTCCCGTCAACGTGTACTCGTCACGCTCGTCCACAGTTTCCTGGCAATCGATACCGTCCGGGGTGCACACGCTTTCGCGACGGAACAGACCAATTACTGACTGGACCTTTGGCTGCTCGATTCCACCTTTAATTAGAAGGGAGTGTCACTAATGAGGTTGATGAAGATTCATGGAGTGTTTCGGTTCGACCATCTGGAATATCTCTCCTGCGTCCAGAGTTAAGAGAAAGTGTTACGAAGGCGATCGTTCTTTTTGGATTATTATCGTTTCCTCGTTGGACGAAGACACGAACTCAATTTAAAACTCATTATATCATATCCGCTGTACGGAACATTGCAGGGAAAATTGCATTTGTTTGAACAAAGTTTGAATATACGGTACCGGGTTATTAGCCCATTTTTCATCGGAAGCACGTTAAGCGAATAAAAATCCGTAGACCTTTGGATCTAATAAATTACGCTCGTTATTAACCATTTGAGCCCATTGCTGCAGGAAGCTTGATAATCGAATATCAACGTAGAACGGGAACCGGGAGAGCGTTGATATCGCGATCCAAAAATCGCGTGCATTTAATTGCAAATAAAATACCGTATCAAAATCCCGTTAAAGGTGGTACGAAAAACACTGTACAACAGCGACCTCCGGATGTTCCAAGTGGTCAGTGAAACCGAAACACTCTGTACTGTGCGATGCATGAGAGAAGTCATCCGAGAAACTTCTAGGACCGAATCCCCACCAACTCAACCATTCTAACATCACGGTAGAAGTAGAGTAAAACGCTTCCCTTATTGGTAGAACTGATCCCTTCCTATTAGCCCGGTCATAGAACACCGTGTGACAAAGAAAGCGAACAAAGCAACGAGACAAAGTGAGACAGACGCAAAAAATAGATGCAAGAGCGTAGACTCATCCCAAAGCGTAGTAGTGCTTCCAATTCATTGTAAGTTAACTCTGAGATAACATTTCTTTCGCGGATATCTTACGCGTATGTTAACGTATCACGTTACAGAACTTGGAGATAGTAGCTTTGGGAGTGTCATAGAAGAGTGGGTATTACTAACAAGAGTACAGGCGGAGCAAGTGGAATACCCCTCTTGTCCCGCAACCGAACGAGATGACTTCTTTCATGCAACGCACAGTACATCGTAAGAGAGTGTGAAACACAAGTGCTCGTGGAAGAAGTTGGCAACACAAAAAGTGTTCTCAACGGTCGGTTGAGTTTGAGAAAGATTCGGTAAGTTGAACGAAATGCACGTATCTCGTTGTGTGATGCACAACCAATCGTGTGTTGACGTGACGGGGTGCGTGTGTACGTGTACGTGTGTGTTAGCGAGCTTCGAAAGGGGACCGGGTAACCCAAAAGTCGAAGAAAAAAACGCATTCGCTTTGTAGGTCGATGAAAAGAAAAGAATGACATAAAACTCTGAACGACTTGAGGATAACATTTACATGTTCTTCGGCCGGAAGTCCGAGGTTAGTATCCTCCGAGCTCGTCGAGCTGGCCTGTCTTCACAAATACGGCTCTCCTGTAAAGCAGCGGTTTCTTTCAACATTTTACGTACCTCTTTATCTATTATAGCCGAAACGAATGAGCAAAAGGCAATAAGTTATAAGATAATTAATATAGACGAAAGCAAGAGCGAAAAGTTCAATGGTCGAAGATCTGTTAGCTGATAGTTCAGTCGGTTCACTGAGGTTGTTGCTTTGCTAAAAAATCGAATCGACCTGGCAGCGAAAAATAGACCTGCAACGTGGTAGGGAATACCTGAAACAACGCGTACAAATTTAGAAAATATGCCATGAATATAGTCACCTATGGAATTAATCGTTTTTCTCTCTTAAAGTGAGAGGGGTTACCCGAGCACCGTTGAAAAATAGCTGTATGTTGAGTTCCTCAGAGTGAGTGTCGAAGAGAGTTAGATCGAGTAACAATTTTTAAAAACGAAGTCAAGAGGTTTGACTCGGGAATCAAAATTTTGCCAACATTTTTTACTACATTTAATCACACGATTAAAATAATTTTCTTTTATCTTCTTAAGCAATATTCTTAATAATTACTTGATAATATGCAATAAATGATATAAATTGGAGGAATTTTTCACGCATAATTAGCCTCAAGATCAATAATCACATATGTATACATTATTTAATTCATATCGATAAGAAATAATTATTTCTTTCTAAATTTAATTAATTCATTCTTGATGACTTATCATGAACAATTTTTGAATAGTATTAGGCGAAGTAAAAAGAAATCCATTATTTTTGTATTCAAAATGGATTTCTTTTTATAAATACAAATACTGGAATATTCAGGTGGTGACCAACATTGTTAACCTACTTCACCTAATATTTTAAAAATATTGAATAATTTTTTAATCACTCATTTATCAAATGTTTAGTAATCTAGCGTGCTTAATTTTTTGATTATTATTGATTTCCTTTATTTCCCGAGTCATCTCTTTTAACTCTACACAGCTTTACCCAGTGAAAAGCTGAATGTGTGATGTACCGAATAATTAGCCAATGAATTCGATGCACTATCACGAATCATTATCAACGTAACGCTAATCCGCGTAATGAAATGATTTATTCCGGATTATCGAGTGACTTGATCGATCATACCTAAGAACGTCGCCGAGGGAGAACTGTAAGCCAGGTACTCTTTGTTGGAACACCAAGCAGGAAATTCGTTCTGTTTAATCGGGTGTCCAGACTCGTAATCGTCCTCCCTCTTCCATGGCAACATGGTTTCCGTGGCCGTGGGCGTCGTTACCCTGTAGCTCTCTGTAATTCGAAAAATAGAATACATTCACATAACACTACGTTCATAAAACTCATCGAACTTAACCTTCATCGACTCTACGAAATTAAACAAAAATTTTAAAGAGAACGCTGTTCTTCGTTCTACTGAAATTTATTTTTAAACAACTGTATTTCACGTATTTGATAGGATGGAAATGGTATCGAGTCCAAGAAAAACTCAATAGCATCAACTATAATTTCATGATATTAAAAAGAAGAAATTTTAATTTTCGAAATATGTTTTCAAATATTGATCCCTGATATGAAAGTCGTGTCAAGTCCAAAGGAAATATCCGCGGCGATGAAATCGAATGAGATAGTGGACAGTTCAAAGATTGGAACCTTTATCCTTTCCATAACCATCAACAAGGATTCTATCACACCACAAAAAGGAAAAATGGAATCGCAAGAAAACAGCGTTCTTCATTCCGTGGAAATTTGTTTTCAAACGTTTACGGTGATGCTGGATACCAAAGTCGCGTGAAACCCGGAAGAAATTGTCAGAAGGAACTGAAATGCAGTGAGATACCGAGCAGTTCTAAGAATGGAGCTTTCATCCTCGCTATAACCATCAACAAGGACTCACCGTCGCGTCCCAATTTCATGTCCGGATCGTCGGTATTTATGGTGTCCATTGAGGTAGTACTGGTGGCGCCGTGGTGGTTCTCCGCATTCACGTTCAACGAGTCTATGGAAATCGAGGGACGAGAAATTATAACTATGAATCGAGCCAAGAATTAGCCGACTCTACCTCTTTCTTCCCGTTTTATATTCAAAGAACGCTTCTGGAAGAAGCCTGAATTATCCTTCGAGGAACTAATTTCTCAAAAGAATCCGCACAGGGGGAGAAGAGATAATTCGTCTGGAACTTGGCGTTCTAACGACGTGGTCAAAAGCTTCGTGGAAATTAACGAAAGGGGAATGAAAAAAGGAGGAGACATAAGAAAAGGCACGAAATCGAAGCGAAAAGGAAAGAAAGATGGGGGGCCGCGTCCTCTTACCGGAAGTGCGAGCCGTGAAGGTAATCGCAGAGTCCCAGTCATCCTTGCTCGAGGGCTTTGAGGTGTCTCCGTTCTCCAGCTCGTACAGAACACCATTGATGTAATCTGCGATCAATGAAAATTCACGTATTCAAACGAGAACCTTTGCATCGGCCTGGCGTCGATATCCTTTCGTCGATTTACCTTGGGTGAACAACTTCGTCGAGCCGTTCTGCTGGAACTCTGGGAAACTCACGTGATTCTGCTTACCGTCCTAGAGTACACGGGGAAGAGGAATGAACGATATTTTAATTGCAAATCGAAGGGATCGAGACTCGGGGGACACGCGTGGACACGCGAACGTTCTTACTTTGAGCAACTTTTTACTGCGTTTGTGACGATGCTTGTGCTCTCCCATCATCCGACGTATGTTCATGTGCATTTTGTAATTGACTTGGGTCGAGAGGTCGCGATCGTTCACCGCGTGACGGCTGTAGCTTAGTCTCCGATGCTGCAACAGTTTCGTTCCATGCTGTAGAGAAACGTATTTCTCATTTGCTTTGTTTCTTCGGATGTGCGGGATTGTACACTGACACATCGATAAATAGACATATCGAACGTACACACATGCTACACGTTACGTTACGTGTGGAGGCTAACAAGCGTACACGTATACGTGTCACTTTAAATGACACGTTTAACACGTTTCACGAGGTCTTACCGTTTGATTCAATTAATAATATATTAATAATATAACAATATAATAACACGTTGGGCCCGGTGCCGATATTGCTATCTTTTTCGATGTTACTATAAAAATATAACGTTATTCGGATGCAAAATAGCCAGAAATTTGCCTAAAAGAGTCGTCACGTTTTGTAATACATACAAAATCAAACCATATTTTTGTTCAACATGTGAAATGCCCAGCTCGTTTTGCTTGCCGTTCCGTTCAGGCCCAGACTCGGTCATCGAGTGGGCCACCGGTGGCCAAAGTGTTCATACAACTCGGAGATACTGTACCAATTGTTATAATAGAATTTCCCAAATGTTAGGTCCAAAAATGGCGAAGAATTTAACTCCAAAAGTTAGCACCTTTTGGTCCCAGTCTAGACCGGACTGGGCCCGAACGGAAAAGTGTTAAAGTGTTTCGATAAATATCATTAAAATGACTACATTTATTTTTTAACTTTGATACTGTCGGTCCCACGAAAAGTCCACTATCAGTCCTCAGGGACCGATGCCGGGCCCAACGTGTTAATAACAGTATTGCCTCTTTAGAACACGTTTCGTCTCGGTAAAATCAATTCTCACAGACTGACACATCGTTTAACGTGTTATAATATCCAAGACAGTTGGAAAGTTTGAGCGATTAATAGTCCCAACTATCAAACTAGACTTTAAATATTTTAAATCCAACGTGGGCCCAAAAATGGCACCACTCCGCCATTAGACTATCAATCACCCCTTTCTCTCTCAACCGTCTCGTGTGAGCAACTGAAACTTCAAAAATCAACATTTCTTCATAGGTCCGTTGCAAATTAGGCGAAGCATTAAAGTGAAACTCCGACTGTCGATTTTCCTAGCCCTCGATGCATCGGATTTCATGGACCCGTGGAGGGACTAGCGCCATCTCCGTCGTGGACGGGGGTTGAAAATCGACAGTTAGATTTTCAAGCGGCGACGCGATGTCCTTCCTCAAAACAATCCTCGTCAGCAAGGTTCCAGGGCCGTGCATATACAATGCATAGACACGTAAAATCTCGTGCTCAGCAAAGAGGGTTTCTTACCCTCTTGTACGGCTTGCAAAGTTCCTCGGCCAATAGGTGGTGGATCCTGGCGTCCGTCAAGTCCTTCTTGGAAGGGTTGTACCCCAGTTCTTGGAGATCAATATTCCAGCCCGCTTCGAGCTGGCTGCAACTTGGACTGGAAGGAGAAAGAATGAGACTGCATTTTATGACGGGCTGCCACTTCAAGATCGATACTGTGCTTCGAGGAGGGTTCGCCGTTCAATCGAGATACAATGCAGACTTATCTTCGGTTATGCTCCTTGGCCAGTGTGTATACGGGGTGAGTCATGGGGCCATCGACACCCTGCGGCGTCTTCTAAACCGGGTACATTACGGTACACTGTACCGGATGGCAGCTATTCGATATCGTATACTCTCGATCTTCTCCGTGCCGCGATTTTTCCAGTAATAAAAGTCCCTTGTTTACGCGTATTTTCCTTCTTTTGCAAAGTGCCTTTTACTTGTATTTTTTAAAACATAAAACCCTGTTTCGTTACGATCGAATTATACATCGCGGAGAAGAGGAAGTATGTGCTTCTGAATTTTGAAATCGAAAGTGACAGGAAAGAAATGTCAAAAGAAAATGGGACTTACAGTATAAATTATACTATGTTCGATAAATTATATGGGCAATATTCAAAATGAAGTAAATAAATCTCCGTTGGTACAATTCAGTTAACGAAAAATAAAATGAACTGCTATGATAAAAAAAAAAACAAAATGGCGGATTACAATATGGAATATTTTTACGTTTATATTTTACATCCTTTATATTCGCGTAATTAATTTAAAAACGTGAAAAAATCGCACGATACTCCAAGTGATTTTAACGGACGAATCAGCGGGGGTATATACCTAAATTCCACCATCAATCTTTCGTTAACGTCGAGTGAAAGAAAACAAAGCATCGAACTGGGAATATGGAGCTCAAAGGAACTTCGTCTCGCTGGGACTTCTTCCTTTTAACAGAAAACTTTCTTCGATAATTAATACATTTTCACAGCAGTGTCAAAGGGTATCGCTGTACATCTGTTACGATCAAAGAAGCATTCTTCGCGCTCCTTATTGTGGAAATAAACAGGTCAAGTACGAAGAAGATAATTCAACTCGACTGGGATCGGGCTGGGAGGCAAGGGGAAAGAAGTCGCGGAGAAGGAAAGAGGAGAAAGCGATGGGAGAGAAGAAAGGAGTCCTACCTTCCATTGAACTGTCCCGTGTTGCTATAGTTGCGGAATATCGCGGACATGCTTTCAGTTCCACTGATATTGCCAATGGTGGACGCGTTTCTCCTAATGTAATCCAGAGCATCTTTCATCGCGAGTTTCGAGTAGGTCTCCAATATTTTCGGCTCGGCGCCGTAGTGATCCCTCACCAAATACGGTCGAATGAATTTATTATCGAACCGTTTGAATCTGGAAAAAGTGAAACGAGAAAAGAAAGGGCGGGAAGCAGCGAAAAATGGCGGAGTCGCGTCGCCAAGTTGGCAAAGTAGCCTTGCAAGTACACAAGTCGTTAGACATTTAAGAAATTGAGTCGATGGCTACGACAAGAGCGTCAACTCACGTTCCATATTAATCCAAGTACGTGTCTGCAAAGTTTCCTTTTTATACGTTTAAAGTTAAACGAGATAGGCGTTTTAACACGTCAAAGACGACTCATAATACCATTCATAGTTGGAGTTTGCAGTTTCTTCCTCATCGCGTAATAATAATTGCAACGGTATACTAAAACTCGTACAAACTGTAATCTCGAACTATTTAATACCAACATCGATCCTTCAAACGCCGTTTTCTCAGCATCCGACATTTTGCAGCCCTCTTCTGGCCAACGACTCAATTCTTTTTACTACGAACTCCTCTTGGAGGCGGGCCCGTGAAAAATAATTTACGATCAAATAAACCGGCGATCAGGATCATCTGCATCCCGCATCGCCATCTTGAACGACTGCGTGAGTCATCCGCTAGGGGAGAGAAAAGTCGATAAACCTCGCAGGCGTTTGTCATCGTGCGAGTAAAATCGACTAATCTCGGATAGGAAAAAGAAAAGGAGAGACTCATTTTTCAATCCCCCGAACGTATCAACAAATCGAATCATACTTGTCCCGAACGTGGTAATTGCCATGCTTGCCCAAAATGTCCTCGATCCCAGCCATCACGTGGTCCATTATCTGCAAACGGAGACGCCATTTTCCTTTACTCCGTCGCACTGATCGCGCGCTTGTTTCGCGTTGTCCCGTTACTAAACGTGTAAACACGAAGCTACTGGAAGGTACGAAATCGCGAAGCAACACGGTTTTATCTACCCCCGGCAATTGTTCTTCCGTCGACACGTTCGTTTACGGAAGGCGGCGTGTGGCCGGCCGGTGAAAATCAGCGCAATCTTCCCGTGCAACAACAACGACGAACGATTATTGATTTCACCGTGTATCGTGGCTCGCTGCGCTTTTTCAATATTTGCACCAACGATAAGGGCGTACAACCACGCGTCCTCTATAATTTATACAACGCTCGCGGTTCTCCGATGCTCGTTCGCCGCGCTTTTTCACCGTGCCCCTTTCCCGCTGCTACCCCCTGCTGCCCTCTTTGTTCTATTGACCGATCGATCATCGTGAAAAACGTCGTTGCCCTTGGTTCGTTGGGACCGATCGAATCGCGAGATACTCGAGGACGGATAGTTCATAGAATGGAGGACAATGGAGCACACGTACCCGCTCGTGGATCCTTTCGTTCATGGTCGGCTTCTTCCTCTCGGCCCGCTTCACGTTCAGGATCTTTACCAAAGGCTTGATCGTGATTCCCTGCAAATAGAGTTTTTCTTTCATTGAGCGTATCTTCAGTTTGCGAATAATCGCGAATTAAAATGGCGATCGACGGGGATAATGGAGGGTGAGTCTATTGGGGAGAGATTGGTCGATGAATGTGGCATAGGGCTAGTGGTTTGTTGGGTTGGATTTTATTTCACTGCCAAGGACTAAAAAGGAAATAAAATTTTAATAACTTTATTTCACTTTGAATTCAATTTAAATTCGAATTAATATACGAGGAATTATTAATCAATATATACTGCTAAATAGTCCAAAACAGTGTTCCTTTTTAGTAGGTACGAAGTTATTAGTGATGGGTTGGATTTTGGTATTTTTGTAGTCCCTGGCAGTGAAATAAAATTATTTATTTCACTTTGAATTTAATTTAAATTCGAATTAATATACGAGGAATTATTAACGAATATATACTGTTAAATGACCCAAAGTAGTCTCCTGTTTTTAGTACGTACGAAGTTGTTAGTGTTGGGTTGGATTTTGGCATTTTTGTAGTCCTTAGCAGTGAAATAAATAATTTTATTTAATAATTTAATAATTTAATAATTTTACTTTCATTTAAATTCGAATTAATATACGAGGAACTATTAACCAATATATACTGTTAGATGGCTCAAAGTAGTGTCCAGTATTAAGTAAGTACGAAATTGTGTTAGTGTTAGGTTGGATTTTGGTATTTTTGTAGTCTTTGGCAGTGAAATAAAATTATTTATATCACTTCGAATTTAATTTAAATTCGAATTAACATACGAGGAATTATTAACGAATATATACTGTTAAATAGTTCAAAACAGTGTCCCTTTTTAGCTACGAAGCAATGTTGCTAACGTAGAATGATTTATTAATTAATTGTTTATTACGTCTCAAAATGGGCGATGTCGTAACAAAATTTTCGACTAAGTCTTCATAAACAAAACGCTAATAAGAAATACAAGAATGTAGAAAGAGAATTCCCTCTGTATTTAATTTCTCAAAGGATACCGTTAAAGATCGTTTATTCGTCGAGGTATTTTTACATCTTTTCGCGAAAGAAATTTCGTATGGCAGGAAAAATGCGCTGCTTTGAATTCTCGGAACTCGAAAGTTTCTTGCATTTCGCGAAACTCGTTCCTAGTAATTATTTCCGCGACGTTCTCATTAAATCAAAGAATCTTTTCGACAGTGTTTTTCTTTTCATAGTCGTAATTAAGAGTTTTGAACGACCGAATTAAAAGTTTCGCAACTTGGATTATGTCGTCGGAAAATTGGAACACACCTTCGGAAGTAATATAACACTGATGGCAGAGATCAAAGAGCGCCGAAAGTTAAACACAATTTCGTAGGACAGCATATTTAACCCTCAAGTGGCAGGGTGGGCTTCGAATGACCCTCGCTATTTTTTCAGTCCGTCCAATACATTACGCTACCTGAAACTCTGTGTACCCGACACTTTCGATACGCTGTTCGCACACCGGGGTACATAATTTACCCGCAACTTTTCCTATTTATTTATGAATCTGCCTACGTGATTAAATAAAGTGAAAATAAATTCACCCTCCACGGGCCAATTAACTTTTATTTATCCCGTTCGCATTTAAATCGAACCCGATATTTCCACCGATGATGTACGAAAAATACGGGAAATATATGGAGAAGTAACAATGCATTGCTATTGTTGCATATAGAAAAGTAACAGTGCGTTATTATTCTTTCATTTGCTGCTGCCAGTGGTCGAGAGTTGGTATTACGCGCCATCGATTTATATCGCCTTGCAAGGATTGTCGCAGCGCCCTCTCTGCTTCGTTCCCTACGGTAGCACTTAACCCCTTGACTACTGTGGGCGCCCATAGGCGCTTAGAAATTTTGCGTTTGTAACACAAAGGTCGCCTATAGGCGCTCGGCGTAGTTTGGCTTTCTGACACGGAGGGCGCTTGTTTTCACAAAAATGGCGCACATCGTAACTCAATTCCTGCCGTATGGTACGGCCGCTGCGTATCAAAATCTGCGTAGTCAAGAGGTTAAGTATTTCGCGCATAAGTTATCACGTTATCCACGAGGATCGAGCGGATGTCGCGGAGCATGCCGCCGGTATCGAATTTCCAATCGATTGCGCGGCAAAGTCGATGGTGTTTTTAGAATTAATGGAGGCCCAGAGCCAGTTCCGCGGCGATTGCAAACAGGACACGCCTTCAGGATGAAAGGGGAATGTTTCTTCATTGCATCCTTTTTGCTCGCGGCGCTTTAACCCTTTGCAGTCTAATTACGCCCCTACTCTATTTGCCGTACGTTTTTTGTTTCCTCTTTTCCCCGATTCGATTTAATTCCCCGAAGAAGCCAGAACGAAATTAAAGCGAGTAGCTATGCAGGAGACGTTAATAAACTGTAATGGACCTGCCACAAAGTAAGTCTATATCATCATCGAGATAAGAACATGCGCTATATACGTCGTGATTACTTCTGTTCGATCATCTCCTAGCACGATTTACTATCGTTCATAACGAAAACACTACACCGTGGAGTATACGTAAGATTTAATTTCCATGAGCCCACGAGTCCTTTATTAACTCTCGAATCGTTTGATGGACTCCATCTACCTTTCACCTTATAAATCATTTTATTCCGCTACGTGATCCGCCGGTAGAAATAAACTGGCATATAGAGATTCGAAGCCAATCTATGTATCGTGCGCGGTATATGGTTCTACGTTGAAATAAAACTACGATTTCTTTGCGCCTATGCGAGCAACTCTTTGCTAGTAGTATACATTTAAAATAGAGCGACGGGGGGGATCGATAATGTCGGTATAAAGAAAGGTCATCGTCGACTGCGTATTTATAAAGTGGTTAACAAAAAAAAAAAAATCACGGCGCACCTTTTGCAGAGATTCAAGCGAGTAATCACGCCGGAAGAGGTTACGTCGCCATTGGTATTACGCTTTATTGTTCCGACGTCGATCGCGATAAGCGCGCGCAGCGCCATCTAACGCACGTAACTCGAAACGTATAAAGCAAGAAAAGAAACCCACCACGATAAGACTTTACGACCGGTTACATTATGACGCGATATATTCACGGTCACCAGAGGGTGCACGAGATGGTCGCAAAGTTGCACGCGAGTCGAGGGTGATCGAGTTTTAGTTGTCTATGCCGAGAAAATCACCGGGTCGAGTAGTAAACATTCGTGCATCTCTCGGATAACGTCTCTTACGATATGAGTACGAACACTGTGATTACACGTTCAGGCAAAGTCTCGTGCGTCCTGGTGATCTTTTATGAAACGTTATTAGGCAGTTTTCACGAACAGTAATCAAATCGAATATCGATCGAGATGCGTCGTATATTTTCTTTCTTTTTCCCTCGTGCCTTTTATGGGCCTTGATTTAGTAAAACCTAGAGGGAAAACTATGTTCTTCCTGCAGTGCAACTTTTTCGTTATACCACGTTTAACGATAGACGGCAGCAGACGTACCTTTTGTTAGGTTATGTATCGAAAAATAAATTACAGCTCGTTGTAACCAAACAAATTTTACAGTTGAAATGCGTATACAGAAAAGTGAGGTTATCTTGGACATTTGGAAGTTAAGCCCATTTAAGTTTCCTTTCCCTTTGAACCTCTTTAACGATAGGCGGCAGCAGACGTCCCTTTGTTAGGTTATGTATCGAAAAATAAATTACAGCTCGTTGTAACCAAACAAATTTTACACTTGAAATGTGTATACATAAAAGTGAGGTTATCTTGGACATTTGGAAGTTAAGTCCATTTAAGTTTCCTTTCCCTTTGAACCTCTTTAAACTACGTCCTTCGATAATTATTGATGTCGTAACCTTTCAGGGCCTCGAAAAATCATTCGGTTCCAGCGAACTTTCGTCCACGTGGAACTTCAGCTATCGTTGTCGCCGTCATATTAGAATCGAGTGAAACGAGAAAATTTGTAAGAGTAGCTTCGACCTCGTGGAGCCAATGAATGGTTCTCGAGTCTGAATCAACATTTCTCAAAGTTTACTTCCCACGAACAACGGACTCTCGGGCAGTGATGTTGATTCAGAGAAAGGGGACGTTCTCGCTATCGTGTCGCTCTCTGCTGAATCGGGCGGCCATCTTTATTGTTATTTCTCTCGCGTATCTACGTCTTCTGACAAGGAGGGAAAAAGAAATGGAAAAATAAGTATTCGCGGAACATCACGCATTATTACGTTGAAGTTTAATTTAAACTTTCGCGAAAATTCGCGGCAACGTTGAACCTCATTGGATTAAACAACAGTTGGTCCACGTAACTATTCGTGGGACGTATCGAGATAATCCAAACGAAGGACGTAAAAAGGAAGCAACGTTGGAGTTATAATGGCGGACGTAAAAGGAAGCATAACAGGAGCCATAGTCCTCGATGGGAACTACAGGCAACAGTATATACGGAACGAAGATGAAAAGAACGTAATGCACAAATCTCTACTATTTGCTTAAATGTCGTCCTTTAAGGCAAATATCTCTGAAAAGTTCCCCGCGCGTTATTTTACCACTTCAAACACAAGGAAACGTTCTGCCCCGAAGAACTTTCCCTGATTTCACCCCCTTGCCATTTAATTTCGCAACTGCAATAACACTTATTCAACCGACAACAACAGGGACATTTCAAAATATACTAAATTGACTATATCCGACGTTAAAATTAAGGAAGCTCGTCCCTGTACGACGTGAAAGAGAGGTTAAATATAACGTTTGATTATTGGTGAATAATGGGAATTTAAATTTTCACTTATCAATCTTTTGTGCTATTCTAATGCCTCTATAGAGACATTATCTGGTAATTCGCAATTTATTACTTAGTTCTGTTCTCGTTGGTAAAAATGAAAAGGCGAGTAAGACTGCCATGCAGATAAATTCACAGATATTTTTCTTTTTTTCTTTCCTAACGCAATATTTGGGCTTTAATCATTTCTCTCCACTGTTACAGGTTTTGGTCGATAAAATTGAAAAATCCTCAGAGTGCAAAGGGTTATAATCCCTTTATAGGAAATGGTAAAAATTTGCAGAAACTGTAAGAAGCTTTCGCGTATGATCCGAGCTCAATACTCAAAGACCAATAACACGAAAAATGTTGAAATTTCGAAATGGCCCACATTTACTTCGATTAATAATATTTATAATAATATATGTTGAATTATACTTTTTTATATATATATTAATTAAGAGATTTATAAATAATTATTTTGCCTATATTTATATTTTGAATATTTGAATGAATATTTATAGTAATATATTTATTTTAAGTAATTAATACTTATCGATATTTGTATTTCTGTTTTCCTCTTACAGACTGAACGACAGTCCCCATCATGAAATTTGAAAGTGACCACCATATCAGTTCACCAAGGTACACGTCACGGTGTTTGATTTTCCTCGATTGTCCACTACGTTAACGTGCTCCGAGACAAACTGATCGATCATGTCATCATTGTCTTACCTGTATGAACACCGTGAAGTAGATGACTGCGATCGTGGTGGTGACGAACATCGGCTGCAGCGACACGTGTTTCGGGTCGATCAGCAGGACCAGGGCAAACGCCACAGCCCCTCGTAAACCACCATAAGACATCACGAACTTCTCCACCTTGTTCAGCTTGTGCAGTCGGAACTGATTAGCCACGGCTGTCAGGAAGATTACGCCTGAAATTCCATTTCGATAACATTCAATGCGTTGCACCCTCCATCTCTGATGACCTTCTACCAACGTGACTCGAAAGTTATTCGCGGTTATTTCGAGTTATTTCTACCCTCGATATTCCACCTCTGCCTGTAACAATCTTTCGCGTCCATTTTCCACGCGACATCGAGACACTGAGAAGTTACCATTTTCCATTCTTCCTGTAACGAATTCCTGATCAAAATGATTAATCTTCGTTTTTCATATGGAAATAATAATAAAAATACATAAAAACGCAAGTTTTATATGCAATAATGGCCAAGTTCCATTTTGTATTCGAAAAATTCCGATTAATAGTCGAGACTTTCCACAAACAGAGAAGAAAGACGATGGAAAAATGTCCGGCCGCAGAGGATGGAAGGTAAAATGTTTTCAGAGGGTATAGAGATGACGATGAATTTTTTAAGTGTCGCCACTGGGCAACGATTTAACGATAAACCGGCGATGTTAACGGGAAGCCGTAAGCCCGTGACAGTAAGCTGTGATGCAAACTGCTGGTTACGGAAGAAGCTAGACGAATCTTGTTAAGACTCTTTCGGAATATTTGGAGAGTTAAGCTAGGACAGATCAGAAAAATCTGAGCTCCTTCGAGATTAGTCTTTCCGTTTATTCAGTTGCTCCTAATCTAGATATTTGGATAATCGAAATGGCGAATGTTAACCCTTTGCACTCGACGATTTTTCGGCTAGAGAAGAGTACAAATTCAAAGATTCTCTACTAAAGAACTGACGATACTTTTTTTGAGCAGTAAATAAAGAATTATATAATAACAGAATTGTAGAATTTTTTTTCGATACCACGCATACTGTTACATTACATTAAATTTGATATATAAATGAAATTTTATGAAACGGTGACTGAAACTCACCCCTCGAGTGCAAAGGGTTAACAGCATTTAGTATCACTATTTATTATTCCTAGATGTAGATCCATATTGACTCTAGAACTATAGAACAATCGTTCACCCAAAACATCAATCATCCATCTAACTATCATTAATTTCAAAATATTCCATCCCCTTATCCCCCAGATCTATTTCTCGATATTTCAAGAAGAACCAGAATCCAATTTCCCAATTTCCCAATCGTTCACCTAACTTTTGACTCTTCGTTCTATCCTCTGAACTGCTAATACAATCACTCACGCAAAAGACAGTAAAATTCACCCAACTCTTCATAATCCTAAGATTTAAGCTTCCTCATTGTATTCCCCAATTCATCTTCCGAAATTCGCAAACGATAAGATAATCAGCCATACAAAACAGACTTCAGCCGCGTCCATTGGACCGCCTAATCTCCACCTCGTCTACCTATCTAAATTACCCGTAACAACCCGAAACAATGCTTGTCGGCGCACGTGCCAAGTTTCCCAAGTTCATCCGGCCGCCATTATGCCACAAAAAGGCGAATGGCGCGTGACAAGAAACGGCTGCTCTTGACACGATCGCGTAATCGTTTGCAAAGTGACACGCGATAAGCGCTGATCGGTTTAGCTTAAGGCTCCCTTATCCCTTGATGCCATTAGCAACTCTCTCTCTCTATCAGCCGATCCGGTTCGAATCGTTCGACTAGCTAACATCGGCTCAGGCGATTACTGTCACGAGGCCTTGGCACTAGGGGCTCTGACACACCTTCGACCTTCACTCACCTACGATCCGATAGATCGAGCAGAAGACTATGGTCATGACCACGAACCACGTGTTCCAGTCGTGACGGTTGTTCACGGTGGCGACCCCGAGGAACATGAAGATGATGGTCTCCGAGCTGCTGGACAGCATCTTCATGGTGTACTTGATGGTGGTGTGCGACTTGTGCGAGATGTTCGGCTCCACGTAGTTCTTCATCGTGATACCGCAGAAGGTGATCCTGCGGCACGAGAGGTCACGGCTAATCGACGATGCTGGACGACACAGGGGTTACGTGGCGCGCGATGGCGGTTGGGAGACCGGCGTATCGATCCTAACCTCTGGGCCGTTTCCCAAACGTCGTCGAAATTAATTCCAACGTATGATTACGGGGGTTTACGAAATCGACGGCAACGCGGCTACGACGTTGATTGGATTTACGATACGTACGTGACCACTGACACCCTGCAAATTCGCGCCTATGTCTGCCTGGATGTATCTAGCTGGACCATGGATTCACGCGTCTCCGTGATACCTTGTGGTTAATATGCGATAAGACGCAAGAGATTTTTGACGGCCTGAAGGGTTTAACCCATTCGAGACCGGTTGCACACCGTGTGTGCAATAATAATAATCAGCATTTATCAGTTATTCTGAGTAGTCGCTCCTGGGGACCGTGTTCGAAAAAAATCGCCGTCTCGAATGGATTAAAAGGTTTGCTTTTGGGGGTAGAAAATGTTATGGATTTTTGGTTATATATATTTTCTTTTTTCATGTGAGAGATATATTTTAGGTGTATTCTCCTGTGTGTATGATACTTTTATTAATTGAAAGTGAAAAGAGAGATGATGTGGCCACACGTTTTCGGTGGCCTGGAGGATTCAAAATGTCTGCTTTTGGGAATAGAGAAGTTGGAGTGTTGTGAATTTTTGGTTATTGCTTTTTCTCTATGTGGTGTATTTGCACGCGTGTATATGTGTGTGTGTGATATTTTTATTAATTCGTGATTGGAGGATAGAAATTTTTGGTGTCCTGGAGGATTTAGAGGGTTTGATTTTGGGAATAGAGAAGTTGGAGTATCGTGGATTTTTGGTATAGTGTGTTTTTTTGTTTAGGTTGTTAGTAATTCAGAGTTTGTTTTATGTGGGCAGTGATTTATTTATTCTGGACGTTGAAGGATGCGAATGTAGCAATTTGAGATAGCACAGCTACAGTCTGGATTATTTGAAAATAACTTTGAAGACTTTTAATGGAAATTTTCATACCCGATTAAATTTTTAACATATTTATGTAAATTAAGGATTACGTTTCTCGAATGAACTATTTTCCTCTAATTTCTGTGCTTTCCTTTACTATAATATGTTTAGAATGAAAGGTATAATACCTTTATAAAAGATATGTTTATAAAAATTAGTAAGAATATAAAATTATTTTTTAAAATCGAAGGTTGAGTACCATGACTACTCAATAGAGACTGTATATACTTACAAACAGAAAGAAGACAAACCCTGTATTGATATTTTATAATCCCACCTACAATCTCTATAGAAACGGTATATAAATCGAGAAGCTTTCATAGCTGCACATTAAGCATCTCGAATACAATAGTGACCATATACATTTGAAAAAAAAAGGAAGCTCTCTATATTCATATTTCATAATCCTCCTTACAAACTCTATAGAAACAGCAATGAACATTAAAAATATAAATGGAATAAATAAACTATGAACAGAAATTAAGTGTCCTATAATGTCTATAAATCCTACAATAATGATATATTAACCCTGTGCACTCGAGAGGTGAGCCTAAGTCACCATTTAATCAAATTCCGAAGATCCATATTAATTAACATATCAAATCTAAAATAATCTAAGATTGCATGGAATGTCGAAATAAAATAATTTTAAGTCCAATAATTTATACCCGATTCCTTATTTACCGTTTTAAGAATATCCTCGACGTTACAGCAGAAAATCTTTCAATTGCTATTTCTCTGTAACGAAAATAATCACCGAGTGCAAAGGGTGAATACAATAATAATGTATCAATATACACAATGATGACTATAAATCCTTGCAAATATACAAATAAATCAATAATTTATACCCGATTCCTTATTTACCGTTTTAAAAATATCCTCGACGTTACAGCAGAAAATCTTTGAATTGCTATTTCTCTGTAACGAAAATAATCACCGAGTGCAAAGGGTTAATACAATAATAATGTATCAATATACACAATGATGACTATAAATCCTTGCAAATATACAAATAAAACACACTCTGTATAAAACCAACAACCAACAAACAATAACAAAAAAGATTCAAAATTCCCCTTAGGTACCTATCTGTTTCAAACATCAAACTGATGAACCACCCCAAGGATTCAAAATCAAAGTAGAAAATTTTTGAATTGCTATTTCTGTGTAACGAAAATAATCACCGAGTGCAAAGGGTTAATACAATAATAATGTATCAATATATACAATGACGACTATAAATCCTTGCAAATATACAAATAAGGCACACTCTGTACAAAACCAATAACAAATAACAAAAACCATTCAAAATTCCCCTTAGGTACTTATCTATTTCAAACATCAAACTGAACCACCCCCAAGGATTTCAAATCAAAGCATCCAAAACAGAAACAATCAGACTCTCAAATAAAAAGCAGCCAAACTTCGACCCTTAAATTCCTCATGGCTGTTCAAATACCTCGACATCTTGGACGTTTTAAACGGATAAATCGTCTATTCGTTACAACCTTGTCACAGCTATCGGACCGTATATTCGAAACCCGTCTGTTTGTCGATCAAACACGCCGGGCCCCTCGATTCAATCGTATAAATAAAAATCACGGAGAGCCAGGCAAGAACCGGCGATTACGGGTTAAGCATATTTGAACAGTTATTACACGGGCATACTTCGCAACGGGATCGATCATCGTCGACTTCGCTGGCAAGCGTGTAAATAATAGACTTAACGAGCGTCGCGCCGCCATCGCGAGCCTTTCCAGCGTTTATAACGACGAACTGTTGGCTGCTTTTTAATAAAATCTAGCCTTGGACCGTGTTATCCGGCAATCGCGAAAAGGGCCAGGCTTACGTTCGACCTTCCCGCCCTCTTCCGCAACACGCTACGCGGTCTCGATAACGCGCGAGGCGGAGAAACGGGAGAACCTAACCTCAAAATTTCGCCACGTCGTTTTAACGAACGGTTCGAGGGGCTGATTAAAAAAGAAAAAAAACTCGTGGATGAATCGTTCGCGAGGTACATGCACGTAACGACTCGCGTGAGAACTCGATGACTCTTTTTGAAATTCGCAGGGGCGGAGCGTGTAGGGGGGCGAGTAGGGGGAGCGAGCAACGCTAGTGCTGCAATTTTCTAGGTCGCCACGTGCACAGAGGCTATTTGGCATTGTCGGTAGTAAACAAGAGAAACGCCGCTGTGGAATTTGATTATTATCGTTTTGCTGGGAGACAGATTCTCTCTGGAATTTTTATTTCGCTTTCCGGTAAGCGGTTTTGCTTGCAGTTTGAGGTCGCGCGGGGTGGTTCATGGGCATGAGGTCATTAAGGTATCAACGAGGCTCGGTAACGTGGATGTAGAGTATCGAATTTTTGTGGTACCACGATGTATGTAAATTTTACGATGGTTTAAAAAATCATCCCTCGATGTTTAAGGAATTAAGGTGAAAATTGTAAGGTTATAAAATATTTCTTATAGTTTGATTTAAAAAAAGAAGAAAATTTTTTGAATTATCGAGATTTTTAAACAATTACAAATTAATCGAAGAATCTTCCTAACAAATTCCCAAAAATTAATTCCGGGGTCATTAACACTAGAACTACCAACTTATGATAATAGCAGTGATACTACGAATAACTATAAATAATTACATTTCAACCTAAATAAAACTCGTACTAATACTAATTTTATCAAAAACTATTGTGTTTCCAGAAATTGCAAAAATAAAATATTTGGTACAAATCATTTCGACCCCCCTTGGTTCTAATAGCTAAAGTTATGTAACGTGTGTACAAAATATTAAACGACAGTATAAAAGATACTTCTAAAGGATTATAACTTCCACTTTTCCTGGAAGGTAAGCTAATTCCAGCTAACTTACTCGATATTCTCGTAAATCCAATTACGACAGTGAAGCTTAAAAATCGAAGTATTCGTTTAGAATTTTACCAGACGAACCATGGAACCGTCCCGATGGCGAATGATCGTTGTGCTATTAAGACGTTCTAGGACATGAACGAACCCCGTGGCGTTGGCGGAAGTGGATCGGTTTACTTACGCCAGTATGCTGGACATGTGAAAAATCTCGGCGTTCAGGTAAGCCAGGTAGGCCATGACGAATATGAAGATGGGCTCGATCACGCGAACCTGGTGGGTGAACCTCGTAACGAAACCGGTGGCGAAGCCCCATATCACCCCTATTATCGTGCCACCGATCGCGACCACGAAGAACGAAGCCAGTCCCGACAGTAGGTCCGTGTAAAGTATATTCGCAGGTCCTATCTCGTTGTACGCCTCGAACATATGGTACAGTACCTGCGTGTCATTAAACAACCACAACATATTCAGCTGTTACTACGATTAAGAGATTTCACGATGCAGCGAAGGGATTAGGATTGCACGGGGCTGTGGAGGAAGTGGGACGCGGAGGATCGCGCAAAGTCGAGGGAGATTTAATCGTGTAATCGCTGTCGTGAGATACGACCTCCGGAGACTTACGAATCTGGCAAGAGATTAAATTAAATTTGAATATTCTTATCTTTCTTTATACTTTTCTTCCACCATTCTTTTGGGATAATATTTTTCCAAGGATTTCCGTCGTATTGGGATTTAATTATGGGATAAATGCTTTTCAGGTGACACGAAGCTTTCAAAATCTGACGAATTTGGACGGAAATTATTTTCTTCTTTTATGGAGGTTTTTCGTTGTATTGGGAATCAATTATGAGATAATTTGCTTAACCCTTTGCACTCGACGACTTTTTGGCTAAAGAAGAATAGGATTTTAAAGATTTTCTGTTACAAAGCTGACGATATTTTTCTCAACAGTGAATAAGAAGTCGTATGATAATTAACACGAAGAATTATTTCATTTCGATACCTTACACACCGTTACATTATCTAAAATGTGACATATTAATGAATATCGAGCTTCGAAATTTTATCAAATGGCGACTGAAGGGCGCCTCTCGAGCGCAAAGGGTTAATTATCGAATAAAGTGGAGAATTAAATGGACTAGTCAATTCTATGAGAAGCATGAATATAAACATAACTTCGAATTTGAAAATTGTGCTTCGATAATTCAAGATGATTGTATTACACGATATCATATGTCAAAGTATAGCGTGTTTGAAGTTATTCAGAAACGATACTTACGACGGTGACAGCGTCGTTCAACAGACTCTCGCCGAACACGACGATGTACAAGATCTCGTTCACGTGAATTTCCTCGAAGACAGCCAGCACAGCGACAGGATCGACAGCACTGATCAACGCGGAGAAGAGGAACATCTGAAGGAGTGGTGTCTCGAAGCCAAAAAGTCCACTCTTACCCAACACCCATAACGAAGCTCCTATAAACAATTCAAATTCGAAAAACGAATATTAAGCACTCTATAATCCTTCGAAGCTGAAAAGGTTGCTCTGACGCAGCATCCACGATGAAGTACCTATAAACAATACGAATGAAAAAAAAAAAAAAGAAAAGAGGAAAAAGAATTAAACACTCTACGAAAAGGCTGCTCTTATTCAGCATCCACAATGGGACATTCAAGAGCAATTTAAATCGAAGAAAAATTAATCGCTCTATGCTCGATTAACCTTTACTTGAAGCTCAATCTGCATGACCTTTGGCTTAATCAAAACGTAGCATGAACACAATTGAAATTTCAGTAACAGTCTATCGAAAGGTCAGAACTTAAGGTCTTGGATTTTCGATAATCGATGGAACGATTTCCCGGATCGTTCAATGCTTTTGAATAATTCGAAGCGTTTTATAGGCTTAATTAATTCCAAATAAAATTGAACGGCAAACTTCATCTCCCACGTGACACGAATGTATTTTCCCGGGAGCAAATATTCCATATATTCTTTCATCCTTTCTCTTCGACGAGATTAAAATTTATACAAGTATGTGTCAGTCGATCAAATTTCATATCGGAATTTTCAGTTCCCATGCTTATTTTTAGCTTAACAATAATCTTTTTTCACTTCCATCACACGTCATCCCCTATGTGTACCTATATTTTGCACCCTCTGAATTATGGTTGATAAAAAAGGGTAGTATTTTACGTTAAATCCAGAAACAATTTGGATATCAATACCTCGCAAATTTTCAACGGAAAAATAAGTCACATTTTTTAATCAGCCTTTAAAAATAAAAACATTGATTTCAAAATAAATTTCTCCAAATAAAATCAATATATGGAATTTTGAAACTTTCAGATTCAATCCTCGACAATTAAAAAGTTACATTCGTTTCCTAAATTTTAAACAAAAAGACGAATAAAATTTTTTTCGTCAAGGTTTAATAATTTTCAGTTCTCAAAATAAGTCCAATTTCGAAAGTTTCAGATTCTAATTTGCGAGAATTAAAAAGTTACATTCGAACGCAGCCCCTACCCTAAATTTTAAATAAATCGAACAAAATTTCATCAGCGTTTAAAAATAAAAAGATTGAGTTCTCAAAATAAGTCCAATTTCGAAGGTTTCAGATTCTAATTTGCGAGAATTAAAAAGTTACATTCGAACGCAGCCCCTACCCTAAATTTCAAATACGCGACCCCATTACACATCATTTTCGTGGAATCGACGAATCACCGTTTCAATAATCGATTTGACACGAAAACCGTCACGGTGACAATGTTTCTCTGCAATAATTGGAACTCCCAACGATTCGAGTTAATAATAAGATTCCGCGAACTTGACGTTTCCGGTTCGTCTTTAATTAACGCGGACATCATCGTTCCATCGCGTAGAGAAAATCCGGCAGATTTCGTAACGACGAAGCGCCGTTTCGCGAACACGACGATCCGCAAACAGAAATCGCGTGGGCGGTTCGACGTCCGCGCGTTTTCACTCTCGATATGCCTGGCTCCCGCGACTTCCTATATACAGGGTGATTGCGAAACGCGTGGCCGAAACTTGCGAAAGGGTGGACGAACGCGGACGAAATAGCGTGTCTGAAAATACAAACTAACTTCGTGAGAATATTTATAGCGAGGTGAGTGGTTAGTGTCAGAGATGAGGAAGTGGGTATAAGTCAAAGTGCTCGAGATCAGGGAGTTGATGACGGCTCTAAATGGGGCACATATGATAACGTACGTGCTATTTTCGATGTGTGATATGTACTATGATCGCTTTTGAAACGTGAGAGCATAGAATTTTTGGGTTAAGATTGAATTCTGATTAATGACTCTTCGATAATTTCAGGGTAATTTTGGAATTAATTCTCTTCGATTTTTAAATTGGTATTTGATTATTCTGATTTACTGTGTAGAAAGTATAACGTCTTTTAAGTTGTTTTGAGGTTATACTTATAGGTTAGGTTCGAATATTCTTGTTAGATTTTTGTATTTAATTACTCTGATTTTATATATAAAAGTAATAGTGTCTTTTAGGTTGTTAAATGGCTACAGATATAGGTTAAGTTTTAATATCTTTTTCTTTTCCTTTGTTAGGATATTTTAATTATTTGATGATTACTATGAAATGTATGAATTGTATTACTGAACAGTCTTGCAGATTGTTCAAAAGCGATACTCGGTACACGGGACAGTGATTAATTTGAGGGTTGATCATGCAAATTAAGGTCATCTACACTGATCATCTAGGTTAAGGTCATCTCCACAAAGATACAAAAGTCTCTCTGCTTTGTGCAGAGTGTCTGTGTACATGACCTTAACCTGGTTGGTTAGTGTAGATGACCTAGTGACCTTTAGTAGTATGTATCACAAATTCCTTACTCGATTAAATTTTTTTCCGCTAATTACTTAACATTTGATGAAAATTAGCATTCCAATTCCCATTTTAAAGATATTTCATTGTTCATCTATTAAGAATGGAATAAATAATTAATTAAATAAATAAATAAATAAAAATTATTTAATTAAAATTATCACTCGTTTCTGTCAGCTATATTATTGATACTATCCTCTGCATCGCTATTTTATTCGCGTTAGTCGTGTGTACATTCCATGATTAATGCCCATTGTTCATTAATAAACGAACAATTAATAATTCCTTGAAATTAACATAATATCGAGATCTCACGGTTGTCGATGATTTTCTGAAATCCGTGTAAATCACTCGAGCAGGGTGAAAGTACATATCGTTGTCAATGAATATATCGCCGAGTTTACCGTTTAATCAAGAACGAATCTTTTATTCCATTACGAGGGCTAATTAGCCCTGTGAAGTGCTCTTACACGATTCTGTCGGATTAAAAGCCGCTTATGTTCGAGAAAGAAGTGTTTCTAGACCCACATCAATGATCTCACAAGCAGTCTGCTCACCCACTTCAAAATCACTCCGTGTGGCTCTCGAATAGTGCGTTTCTTAACAACGCGCGAGAAAGTAACAGAAATAGACTGTGTAATATATATAAAAACGACCGAAGAAAATATATCGCTTCGAAAGATTGCGGAAGAACGTGGTTAGAATTCTAACGTGGCAGAAAAATAAAGAAACAGAAAAATTTGTATTTTCTCAGCGAATTTTGGAAAACCACTAATTATTCCGATGTACATGTTCGAAAATTAAAAATTTCCACATGGACGATCTTAACCTACTTCCTCGTATCCACTTGGAAAATATGGAACAAAAGGAGATGATTATGCATTAATATAATAATCGAAATCTAAATCGGGACAAAGCTTTCAAAATTTTTTAATTTTCGAATTTCGAAAGTCTCTCGAATGTTTGAATATCACGAAGCTAAGAATTCCAAAAGTTTCGCGAATTTAAACATTTTACGAAGCTTAGAATTTGCAAAGTTCCACGAATTTAAACATTTTACGAAGCTTAGAAATTGCGAAGTTTCGCGAATTTAAAAATTTGACGAAGCTTAGAATTTGCAAAGTTTCGCGAATTTAAAAATTTTACGAAGCTTAGAATTTGCGAAGTTTCGCGAATTTAAAAATTTGACGAAGCTTAGAATTTGCAAAGATTCGCGAATTTAAAATTTTACGAAGCACAGAATTTGCAAAGTTTCGCAATGTTTTAAATCCCACGAAGTCTCGACTTTCGAAAATTTCCTGAATTTAGAATTTTTCCAAAGCTCAAAATTTCGAAAGTCCCGCGAAATTTCAAATGTCACGTAGTCCCGAATTCGGCAAATCCCCGGGGATTCGAAATCTCCCAAAACTTTAAATCTTAAAAAAAAAGAAAAAAAAAAGAAAAAAGGAAGAAAAAAATAAAACTAGGAATATAAAACTATATAAAACTAGGAAGATAAAAGTAAGCAGCGTATCCACCATGGGACTCTCTGCTCGTTCCAGTTTTACCGACCTATCGACAAGGTGTTAAATATAGTCCCGACGACGGCGAACAGGAGTATCGTCCCCAGGTGGTCGAAGAACAGCCGGTTCGGCATGAAGTAGCCGGCGTCCAGGATGATGGGCGGCAGCATGTAGAGGAAGAACGTGTCGGGGGTGAGGGGTGACACGTGGACGCTGCTGGCCTGGAACAGTAAGACACCGACGACGACGCCGACGACGATCAGTAAACAGGACTCTGGAAAGATCTTGCTGAGCCTTGGCGTCATGTGGAAGCCTGCATGTATAGAAAACACGTCTCTTAGATATAGTCAAGTACCGATGAAATGGAAAATAGAACGGGTGGAAGACACCCTTCCTTGGTCGGCCATGTTGCCAGCACGAGAACAATCGTTCCGTTATTAACCCTCGTTCGACGAACCTTGCGCTCCAGACACTTTTTAAACCGCCTGTTGCAGCTTACCGGGAAATTAGTCGTCTTGTCTATAGTTTGGTATCAGAGGACACTTTGGGTCAGCTCTGGGAAACCTTTGTGGAAGATGGCAGACTATTGGCCAAGAATTGAAGCAAAGATTTGCTTGGCTGTGAAGATAGTACTGTGTACTGAAGATAGTATTATGTTACTGTATTAATACGTATTAGCATTGTATATTATATTATTACAGCTGTATTGCATGTATTGTATATTATATTATTATAGTGTACTATAGTAATGCAATATTCTATTTTATAAGTATTTTGTTTTGGTGTAATGTAACAGGTGTACTGTATTGTTGGATTGCATTAGTATTACGTGTTATATTATAATATAATATACATACATTATACTATATTTTATAAATATTTTGGTTTGGTGTATCGTGAAACGTGTATTATATTTTTCATTAGGTTTTTCACAGAGGAAACGTATTGTAAGCGTGAGTAAAAGTTTTTGACTCGTTCTATAGTTGCGTGCTGGGTTTTAATGTCGATATGTATGCATGTTTTAACGTCCATAGGTACTCGTTATTGCATTTTTTCTTTATCCAATACCAACTTTCGCGATCAATAAAAATATATCTTATAAAAACGTAAAAATTTGTTAATTTATAATTTTCGAACATTCACTCGCTACAGGTACACTATACAACTGAAATGTGATCATCGTACGTTATATAACTAACAGACTTTTATAACCGATGACTTAATTTTAGTCCACCAAAAATGAACGCTGCTATAGTTATCCCAGCTTAACTTAGACAATTCCTTATCGAAGATTCAATTTACGAGCGGCCAATTTTAAACAAGACGATATTGTAAACTACCTATAGTCTCAGCACACTAAATCTCAATTCGAAGAACATACGATATAATTTCACGCGTAATCGTACAGCACGCGAGCAATAACCAAATTTTCCTACCCAATTCGCGCTCGTATATCACCCGTAATGTCCAACAGACCCATAGTGTCTATACTGAACGCAAACAAGCCTACACGTAGCTAGATATTTATTTCCTCGAAAATTGAAACAAACCTTGTCACACCTACGCGATACTATGCAACACCGACGTACCCGTGACGTTAATGCCAACCGTATTCCAAATTAACCTCTTAAGCAGCGAATTATTGCAACAAAATCGACCACAAAATTCCCCAAATTACTAAACTATCAATTTACCAAGTGACTACTAAAAATTCCCAAAGAGCTGGAATCATGGAAAATTCAAATACACACTTTCGCACGAGTACAGCGAATAGAGTAGGACCTCGTCAAATTTAAAATAAAAACTGTAATTACAGTAAAAACTATAATAAAAATTTATAATAGGTAAAAATTTTAAGTAAAATCGAAATTTTCACCCCCCACTTAAGGGGTTAAATAACACGATCGTCGATATTTCTGATTTTTTTGGGGCACACGCGTGATGAGTTTCATAGACTCTGCCACTTTATCGAGTACAAGAGAGAGGCAATATCGGTTTTTATTCTTGTAAGATATACAGAATCTATAAAAAGCCTTATGTTACGAGTATAGTACTTCACGTTGCAAACACGATCGATGGTACCGAGGAACAAGTAGAACCCCTGTTATTCGAGCTTCCAGTTTGTGGATGTTCCATTAAGTTCTCTGAACACTGTATTATCGATACCGTTGTCTCCCTTTCGAAATGGAAACGTTTTACGTTGCCTCCAGTACAATGTAACATAATGTAATACTATTTATAGAGTTTAATACGAGTCTAATATTCAATGGTCATTTATGCAACGGTGTGACATCCGGGGATCAATGCTTAACGGATGGAAATAAACGCGTGTGATAATAGGTTAAATTAATGGCAGTGGCGAATAACTGGAAACAACGGGAAAATATAAATAATTTACTCCAAATACGTGAGAAATGTACAAACGGAAGATAAACACGTTGCGCAAGGTGTTGCGAGATTTATTCGTACTCGTAGTTTTGCAAACGCGGCGAGAAACGAGCCGCGAGTTTGCCAATATTTTGGAAATACGAGACTCGTATATTCCGAGTGATCGGTTTAAGATTCCATAGAATGATTCAATTTTCAATATTTACGATTATTCTATTCCACACCGATATCTCATTTCCCAACCGTATTTCGCGAATCGTACCCAACTCTTCGCGGATTTCACGCAAGAGCTTCCTCCGATTCGATAAGTTTAATAAAAGTTGAGATAAATCGCTTCGGAGAAAATCCGAATCACAGTTGACAGCAAACTACTCCGCATATACGAATCCACAGATACGGATCTATCCCTACGTATAAACACCCCTGGAGACTTGTGAAGATCCAAGATCCGCATCGTCGCAAGGAAAGATAAAATCGATGCGATTCCAAGCAAGCAACAGTTAGACCCGGGTTATAGATCACGACTGACCCTGTCAACAATCACGACCGTTCGTCGATCAAGGGTTAAAAGTCAGAGGTTGACCTATTTACCCACGCGTCAGACTCAACGACAGACACAGCCGTCGTATGCCTAGCAAAAGGAGCAAGGAACAACCGAAATACCGGATAGTTCCGGTTCCGAGTTCAAGATCCGTTCGTTTCGTACCTATTTTCGCGATGCTGGCGAAGAAGATCCAAATTCCAATGACGAACGGGGTCTCGACGCGGTGAAACTCCACGGAGATGATCTTGTACTCCGGCTTCGAGTGTTTGGCAGCATCTGCCTCCTGGACCGCGTGAGACGTCAGGTGTTCCATGGAATTGGCCCCGTTGCCTTGACCGGATGACAGGCTTCGAAAGGACACGTCGTCCGGCAGGGATCCATCGATGGGACCCATGGGTCCGAAGCTTTTGCCGGGATAGGGCTCCCTGAGATCTCGGGGGAACTCGTGGTCATCGACAATGGGTCCGTGCATCGCGTAGTCGTCGACAGGGATCCGTCTCTCCTGCAGATCGGGTACGGCGTCGTAGAACTTGGCCAGGCCAGCCTGGCCACTCGTCGGCCAGCAGGCGACGTGGAGGATGAACGCGAGCGCGATCATCGTCGGCGCGAGGACACGTGGAGCCATGACGACGTTACTCGGCGACGACTCTGCCGAACCTGTTCACGGGGACCGCGCTGTTCGTTCGCGCTCGTCCACCGGTGCTGAGTCACCCTCAGTACCATCAGAAGAGAGCTCCAACCACGAGGAACCTGCAGCCTGAATGGCTCCCGCTGCTCTGCAGGGAACGCACCCCCCCTCGTCGCTACTTCACTGCGCCCTTATGCTTCCCCTTGACTAAACCTCTGCTCGTGATTGTCCTCGAGGTACGAGTTCCTCGCGTTTCTATACGTCTAAGTCTGAGTGGAAGACGATCGTTTCACTGTCCTCTGTTTGAACCTCTGATCGGTTATTGCTTCGCGTGGCAGTCAATTACTCCAGGGTCTTTTAATCTCTCGTGTATCACTGAGCTTCGACGAGAAACACACGCGATAGGAACTAGTTCTCGTTCAGATCAATCGGCACACACGAGAGCCTCGGGTATTTCTCTCATCCAGGTACCCAGACTCACCGTTTCGTGTTAATAACTGGGATGGATTGGTATATGCTTCCGACCTCCTCCTCGATCTTGCTCCTAGTGACGCTCCAGTTCTACGCCGCTTCTATATTTGTATCCTCCCTGACGTTTTTCGGCGGCGAGCGTGATCACGAGCCGATCTTCTCCGCTGCGGTGTCAATGAACTCTTAGCCAAACGAGGCGTGAGAGACAGAGGAGGAGAGACAGAGTGACCTAGACGGCGGGGAAAATCGAGATCTATTTGGAGTCGAGGCGGAAAAAGAGTGTCGCGGATAGCTGGAGGATCCGCGCGGCATCTTTGTTTTGGTACTTACCAGAAGCGGCGCCGTTCGACGCTGCTTCTCCTCCCGCGCCGTTTATTGGCCGGTTATCGACGACGGAGAGAGTGTTCTCGGTGTACGCAGCTGCAGCAGAACCAGACCAGGGTAGATCGGGCACTCGACTAGCTCTTATCGAGCTACTCCACCGTCGTGTTTATGTTCCTTCCACGGCGTTCTCTAACGATAACGATCGATCACGGCCACAGATTCTAGCGATCACTCTGTCAACCGAAAAAAATCCACACTGACAATCCAAACCCTGTCTCGATTCTCCATACACAATCCGCTAATCCCTCTGATCCTCTAGAGCATTCCGATGGATTATCTCACAGGGCTAATCTCGGAAAGGCACTGGTCTAACGTACTTGTCACTTATCGGATGCGAGCGAATCGAATCGAATCGAATCCTGGCGAGGATTCGGGGACTGTCGAGAATCCCCGAGGCAGGTGCAGACTACTCGACAGCCTTCACGCTGGTTGACGACGCACGGGTCTCCTGTGGCAGCGACAGACCTCGACGGATGTCAAGGGTGGGCACGGGACGAAGACGTGGCAGCCGGGCAGATGCATGGTGGAGTCGTAAAATGGAAGTTGCGTGGCGTTCCCAGGTTTCAGCGGTGCGCTTCGATCGACCGACACGGCAGCACTGCGCGAGCGGAATCGTGGAGCCGCGCGCCGGCTCGCGCTGGCTACGTCGACGTAGACGTCGGGCACACGATCAACACCATCGTCGCGACGAGTGGACTAAGGGCGACCACGGATCGCTGCCAAAAACGTGCGTAGCTGCCGACGAGGCCACCCTCGACGTCGCTACTGACACCCGATGGACACCAATCTCTCCGTCCTTCTCGCGCCACCGTCGCGCCGCCATTTTCTCTCTCGCTCCACCTAGCGCCATCTCTGTCAGCCTCGCGGCCCTAGCGGCCCTCCGTCCTTCTTCAATCGACTTCGTTACCCCGCGTCGCTGAGCCTCCAGCCAGCTGATCGTTGCGGAACCCGCGCAGGCGTCGCGACGCCTCGATATAGCTTTAGCGCGACGTCGTTGGGTGTGCTTGCACGCACCGCACCGCCTCGACGGTTTGTTGTCGAGCCGACACTGGAGTCGTAGCCCGGACATACGGGAATACTGCGTATGAAAGGGATTGCTGGCATTCTGTGCAATGATCGATAATCATGCTGTGCAAAGGGTAGACGGAATGGGGTATGGAATTGCGGGCCGAGGATGCAGCTTTGTTTACAGATGGCGGGAATCGGGATACCGATGTAGGCTCGTGTGTTGTTTCATGAAGGTATCTCTGTTTCACGGTTAGGATTTTTCCGTGCTCGTCTCCTGTCTGTCGGGGCTTTTGAGGTTACGCGAGGTAGGCTAGGTCGGCTGGCTACGCAGACGTCACGGGACACGATCGAAATCCGACCTTTGCGTTTAAAGGGGAGAACGTGCGTTGGCTTCCATCTCGCTTTTGCGCCTCAGCATATTTTTCAGTGCAAGTCTCTCAAGAATATTTAATGAAATGCATCGCCTGCCGTTTCTACGGAGGATTGGTCACGGACGAGTCGGTCTACGGGGAATTCCTGATCCAAAGAGTCGCTTCAATGTTCCTTTCGATTACGTTAAGTAGAACATCCTTTGTCTCGCTGTGCATCTTAATCTCTTAGTCCTCCTGTGCGTCGGGCCTTCAATTGGGTCACGCGGATCATTCCGCGTTACTTTCGTTCTACAATTATGTCGTAATAGCATCTCTCGTAGATCAAGAATCGGAGATAACGAGAGGTCTTCGGAGACCTTATGGTACACGTTAATCTCTCAGCTTTTCTGCAAAACTGACTTCCAATTGGGTCACAAAGACGGTTTAGTATTACGTTCCTTTTACGAGTATATTATAACAATATTCCTTTTTCTTTAATCATAACTTATTTCCTATTCGTTTTTTTTATCACAATTAGTCTCACCAACGAATCCTTCATTTACAATCTAAAATCAACGATTGCTCAAAAATTCTTCATTGTCGTTTCTCTTTAAATTTATGGGTGCTTATTATTACGTAAACGTTCATCGTTTTACGTATTTTCTACTAGCGTTCAAAACTACAAAACGAGCCTATAATAATATCTTCTTTGTCACAAGTAGTCTTATCAACAAGTCCTCGATATAAGATCTAATATCAACGATTGCTCAAAAATTCTTCAGAGATAATAAAATATTACAGAACAGTTAATTTATTAATAAAAATTAATAAAAATTCTCGTAGTTTTTCCTATGGAACAGTCCTTCTGTTATATCACATTCGTTTTCCCAATTATACTGCAATATCTTCTACATCGCGATTAGCCTTATCATCGAATCTCCCAATTAAGATTTAAATCAGCGATTTTTAGAAAATTCTTCAAAATCGCAATATCGGATGTTCTCCAAAGACTTTCGTTCTCCTGCGATGCCTTTTTCAGCAGTCCTAAATCTCCGTAGGTACGTCAGGTATATAGGACACTTGGGCTATATAGGGTCACGGAATCCAAGCTGAGATCGACCTTAAACCAGCCGCGTCACGTAGCCGGATCTTGGAGACACCTTTAACCTTGACCTTGTCGCTGTTGCGCTAGCAAAACGCTCGGCTGCCTCGGCATAATCATACCACGCGACCCAGTGCTAGCCTACTTACTTCTTCCACGTGCCGGCAGAGACAGTCGATCGGTTCCAGGATTGTTCTCGCCGGGATCGAATACGCTGCAAATGCCATCCTGCTTTCTCTCCCCTTGTTACAAATGGAAAATCGTAAACTGCACGATCAACCCTGGTCGATAACGACGCGATAATTAAACGGACGTGGCCATTCGGGGCTAACGTGCAGCTAAAACGAAAATGGAATTGGCCGTCGTGCTTCGAAGGATACCTTGAAAAATGGTGGAATAGGACAACGAACGGACGTAATTACCGGATGTAAGCTGCAGTTTCAATTATTTTTCTACGAACCGCGGCAATTCTCGATAATACTCCCTCTACGCCGACGTGCTTTGATTTGTCGTTGAATTTCTGGGGGTACAAGGCGAAACGATTATGTTCCTTTGGAATATACGACAGGAATTTTTCATTATCCTTCCTACTGTTAACAAGTAGATGGAAAAATTAGAAATACGAGGGTAATAAGGGATAAATAGAATGCAGAAATATGAAAAGTTGAGGTTCAACCCTTTGCACTCGAGAGGCACCCTTCAGTCGCCATTTGATAAAATTTCGAAGCTCGATATTAATTAATATATTAAATTTAAAATAATGCAACAGTGTGAGAGATATTAAAATGAAATAATTCTTATTTACTGCTCAAAAAAGTACCGTCAGCTTTATAGCAGAAAATTTTTCAACTCGTACCTTTCTTTAGCCAAAAATTCGTCGAGCGCAAAGGGTTAAAGGTGAAATTAATTATTTCCTTTTCGTTTTCGTAAGCTTTTTCTTTTGTTTCAATTATTCGACAAAAGATTGTTCCTCCACGTGGACGTTCTTTGATTTATCGTTGAATTTCGGAGAGCGAAGGATGGAATAATTATCCTTCCTCGGAATATACAACGCGTGCGAAGGAAGCGTAGTAATTTTTATATTATCTTTTGTTCCGTTTGTTCGTTGAAAGTAAACGACGATGGACAACAAAAATAAGATTTATTGTAAAGCAAGACAAAAGCACGTGCACTCGCGAACGTGTTGCAAACGGAAGTCGAGCCTGAGTTACAAAAAGAGGTACGTGTACACGCTTGTCCCGAGTATTGATCTAGAATAATCTACAATAAATCATTTTAAGCGGAAGATTTAAATTCCAGCACTATTTTTTATTATTTCCTATTACCTTTTTCATTCTATATTATTTTATCGAAGAGTAGAGTAAGCAAAAGTAAACACAGAAAAATATAAATATATAAAATATATAATATACGATATTTATTTCTCTTCTGACGTTTTACATTATCTGCATGGTACCATGTAACAAGAATAACACGACGATGACTTTTCGTTATCGTTCTTCCCAGTTTTCCGACTGGAAAGGTGAAATTATTTCGCGTTAACAATGTCCGACGTGTTTGCGAATAAATTTGACATTTAACCCGGTGTTAGAATAATTTTTCTACCTATTAATCCTCGTTTCCACGAGACGTTCGAAATTCTGGAATGACGCAAATGGAACGGCCACGTCGTAAACGTCGAAACCGTGCATCAACGTTTGATTAATTACGTTTTGCGAGAAATCTTAAAAAGACCGACGCCTTGAACTTCGTCCAAAACTTATCGTATTCCACTCTGTGAACTGTCACGACTAAGAGACCGGAACTCGCTCCACCGCCATTGTATTTCTATCGCGACTCGGTTGGTAAACAACGCGACATCCTTAAAGTGAGGTTATGTTAACTATCGTCAAGTTAAATCGATGCGAATCTCGTTACCCTGTAAATTCAAATCGCATGCTTTCTGCACGAGACACCTGGAACGCGAATAAAGCTTAGTAAATCGATTCGATAACGACGTACAGCCATTTTTCTTCGATAAGTCAGGGTCATTAGGTTGTCAAGACTGTTTCTTTTCTTTTTTCCCATTTACTTCGAATTTTTAATGTACATTTCCCTGAGGCTGACTCTCATCGTTATTTATCGCACTCGAGATATAACTAATCGACGATTCTTCACTTTCAAAACACGAAACAAAAACCAAACGAATTATTCCATTTTTTGCTCGCGTAGCGATCAAGGACTCGACTGCCATTAACAGGCTAGCATGTTCTAATCTCTCGCCAACGTTCTGCACGAATTTTTGCGAGCTATAATATCTCGTTTCTTTATTAAGAAATTGCCATTGATCCTTTATCTTTTGGATTATTCAACATAAAAATTATAACATCTTATCAGATACCATACTTCGCAAATATCTATAAAAAAAACATAAATACAAAACTAGAAGTTCTAATTTAACCGAATATAAAGAAATGGAATATTTTTAAGAAAATTTCCGATAATTTTGCAATTTAAAAAATTTCTAATTTCCATAAACTCTATCTTACCATCGACACCCAAAAATCTAAAACTGACAGCTCGATTTCAACATCCCTAAATCCCCATATCGATCCATCGATCACTCACCAGAGTATTGACAAAACGTTATCTTTTTATCATCACGCTAGATTCAGCCAGTTTTCATACAGGTGCCAGATAATAGGCTTATCCGGACATTTAATTAGGCAGACACTTACGGTTGACTCAATATTCCTTATCGATAAAGCATCGTGTGAGACGTTTTCGAGATAGAGGGGCCACGGATGAGGGCTTACTTCGAATCCGTAGTAACTATATTTATTATCGAAACAAGATTACACGAAGAAAGAGGTTGGTCAAACAGTGACGAGTATATGTGTATACATAGAAGAAAAAAACAACTGCAAAGAACTCTCCCAACTACCAAACTTGACGCGACACTCCTCCTCGAGAGGATCGTCTCACGCCTTCTCTAATCTTTCGATGAACCTACCATGCCCAGTGAAATGACCGGTGGACGAAGAAATAAACTAAGAAAAACTTCAGAAAAATGGAACACGAGGAGATATCGAAAAATCGATTATACCTATATTAAAAGAAAAATCGTAAAGACGAGTGACCAAAACGACAACGCCGAGTACGAATTACCGAAAATTTTTAATTAAAAATTTAAAAAACATCATTTAGGTCTTGGTAGCTTCAGTGTTAAACCTCCCCCCACCCTTTTGGTCACGAAAAATATCACAGGCCCATCGGTACACTGCTCGTCGATGAACGTTTTTCCCCATGGG